TCCTGTGGCTTTCACTGAGGGAGGACCCTGTAGCCCTGTGTGAGGGGCGTGTCTTGCGTGGAAGGGAAACAAGACTGGGGGAGGTCCCTGGGCAGCCTGGGGCAGGGGAGTGTCCCAGAAATCCAGAAGAGAGCTCTCCCTGCCAGAGCATCTCCATCCTACCCTGCAGCCTGGGAGAGGGAGGCCTGACCCACCCCCACCCCCTGTAGCTCCTGTCGCCTCCTTTCCCCTCCCTGAAACTTATCCAATTGCAGCCTTCTAGAACTGAGTGGTGGTGGGGGCACTAACTTTGTTTTCCTCAAAATGGAAATATACATTCTTTTTCTCACTTAAGAATAGCCCTGGATTTATATCCAATGAACTGGGCGCAGGGGTCACCTCTGGGAAGGGGAGCCTGGATGGTTGGGGACGGGGACAGAGGGAGTTTTACTTTTTACTGAGTACCTGTTTGTTCCCTTTGAATTTTATGCGACGTGTATGTTACCTGTTCAAAAAGTATGATTTAGTTTTTAAATAAAACCCTGCTTCCAAATGCAAATATATAAAGCTGAGAATGAAAACTGTGTATAATCCCACCCTTAGGGATGATCACTGTTAATAGATCTATGTCCTTTCAGATGTTTTTATTCATAAATGCGTATCTCTGTATGTACTGCATTATGTATAGTCCACAAATGTGGGATCCCTCTGCACATACAGCTTTGCTTATAACCTAGTTTTTTTTTTTTTTAAACAATTTATCATGGGTATTTTTCCATGTCAATACACAGAATTCTACTTCCTCATTTTTAATGACTACAAAGTTCCCCATTGTATGAAACTATCTTTTGCGTGTCTTGGCATTGCACGCAGCTCCCAGCATGGCGCTGCCATCCCAGCAAGCATCTATTGAGTGCCTACTGCATGCCTAGGAAAGCTCCAGAAGTTTCTAGTCTAGTTGGGTCCTCAGATAACCTGAGCTCTCTTTGTATTCTGGTTAAGGGATAAAGCGGGTTCAGTCTGAAGTATGTGCACGGTGCGCATGCGATCATGTGTGTAGTTGCTAGGGGTGGGGGTGGAGTTGCACCCAGGGTGCCCCCTGCAGGCAGTGAAGACCCGGGGCTTGCTGTGGAGGTGTTGCCCAGTCCTCCAGGTCCTGAGCTGGGCGCTGTGCTCCCCCTGCAGGCTGTGTCCAGTTCCTGCAATATTATTACCAGAGGGGCTGCCTCTACCGGCTGCGGGCCCTGGGGGAGAGGAATCACCTGGACCTCACGGTGGGTACGTAGCCCTGGCTGGGGTGTAGGGGCAAGCCCCTGACCCCTCCCTGCTCCCCTAGACCTTGCCTTTCACTCCCCACTGGGAGCCCCTGCCAGTAAGAGCATAGAAAGACTGACCACACGCAAAGCCGGGGCTGCTGGCCTCTGCCAGAGTTGCTTTTCCTAATTCATCGCGGATTCTGTTTCAGCTGACGAGCATGAGGCCAGCTGCGTGCCAGGCCCTTGATGCTGATTTCTCTCTTATCTTTTTTGAAGAATGTCCATTTTCGGTCTGTTTTATAATATATGTAATATTAGCTTAGTGTTGCACATACAAAATTTATGTATGATATGTCTACATGTAAATGTGTATGAACATATACATGTATGCACCTTGGGAGTGTATGCTGAGCTTTTTTAACTCGTAGAGGTGGGTGCTTAAAAAAGCTCGGAGACCCCTCATCTAAACTCTCGGGGGAAACTTCTTAATAGAACTCTGCTATCTTTTAAGATGGTCCTTTCCATTGAATTACTCTGCAAAGTAGGTCCTATTTTGTCAAGGCTCGATTACAATGATTCATGCGAAAGCCTATGTAAATTAAAGAAATTATTAAAAAACAGTGCCTGGACATGAACGTTCTGTAGGTATTGTTGAGCTCACTTAGTTCCTGGTGACTTGAGGCGTGAGAGCAGTCAGGCCTGGCCACAGCTGTTCTGCCCGCTCTCTGGGTTATTTTCACAGCGAGTGCTCACCCACCTATAAGAGGGGAGGGCTGTCCCCCCCCCTCGGGTGTGTTTGTGCCTGACTACTCTCAGGGTGACTGGCATGGCTGGGCAGGGGGCACTTGGCGTGGCCGTGGGGGCAGCCGAACCCCCTCACCTGGCCCCTTCCTCCCTCCCTCCCTCCCTCCTCTCCACAGAAGGATTCCAGTCCTGGATGTGGCGGGGCCTCACCTTCCTTCTGCCTTTCCTGTTCTGTGGCCACGTGAGTCCCCCTGGAGTTTGTGGGTATCCCCTGCTCTGGGCTGACCCCCGGGGACAGAGGTCTTCAGGCCTCTCCCTCATTCACCAGCCATCCCCCAGTTGGGCCCCACGGGGTCCTAGGGCTAGGACGGCCCCTGGTTCCAGGGGTGCCAAAGGCAGAAGCCAGAACTGGCCCTCAGCACCAGCATGCCCAACCCCAGGCCCTCAGACCTGCTGTGGCCTAGGGTGCCCCTGATTCATTTGGGAGGTTTGTCAGTGTGTCAGGGAAGTTGATACCAGAAGCTCCAGGGCCTGGTCCATCTCCCGGGCTTTCCCTCGGGGGTCTCCAGGGGAACTGGGTCAGTGAGCAGCGCCTGCCTCCCCTCTCGCAGTTCTGGCAGCTCTACAATGCCGTCACGTTGTTTGAGCTCTCCAGCCACGAGGAATGCAAAGAATGGCAGGTATGGGGTGTGCGTGCGCGTGTGCCTGTGCATATGTGTGTGTAGTCGGGGTCCTGGGGAAGGGTGGGCCGGCTTGGGGAGAATTCTTTCCTCCACCACTCCCCTCACCTCCCTCCGTGGGGGCCCTGCTACTCAGAGCTCCCTGCTACTGGGGCCGGGGAGCCTCTCACTGGTCTGAGAATCCCAAGGAGGTTCACCCCATCGAATGCTACTGGGAGCTGCAGAAGGAGCCCCCCAGGACCCTTCCTGACCCTGAGGACTCTCCCCCTTCACCCAGTTGGCCCAGAGCTCTGCCATCTGCGGGCAAACCCTGCAGTTTTTGGGTAGCTGGCGCTAAGGGGGTTGTGAGTCCGGGGGGCAGGGTGGGCACTCAGTGAGGGGGCCGATGGGAGCCCGCACAGCCTCTTCCGTCTTTGCCCTCTTCTCTCTGCCCTGCCTTCCCGGCCCCTGGCACTGCCCTTCTCTGCACGCCCCCCGCCCCTAGGTGTTCGTGTTGGCGCTCACGTTCCTCGTCCTCTTCCTTGGCAATTTCCTGACCACACTCAAAGTCGTGCACACCAAACTCCAGAAGAACAGAAGCAAGGCGAAGAAGCCGTGAGCCACGGGACTGTGAGGCTGCAGGGGGATCCCAGTCGGCACCCTCGCTGCCGATTTCCTCCCCTACAGTGTCAGTGGCCACTGACAGCAGTGACCTCAGGGGCCAGTGGCATCGCTGGGAGCAGGACTGAGGCCCTGGACCGCGGCCGGACATGAAGAATGTGACCCCAGCCTGTCTGCACAGTATTAGCCCTACAGCCTCCCTATTTATGACATATTTAATTCCAGACCTCCCCACCTCCCTAGACTGGGTCAGTCTTCCTGAGGTGGGGGGCCTAACCTCAGGGAGCCCCTCTGTCCCCACTCCCATCGTTTGAGCCCCTCAGTTGGGGTTTGGATGTGCCTCGCTGGGGTCGGGTTGATGCTGACCTGCTGCTGACTGAGTCCCAGGCGGGGGTGGAAGGACACCCCTCAGCATCCTGTGGAGCCTCCCTTCTCCAGGCACACCCCTTCTGCTGTAAGCTCCCCCCTCCTCCTGGCCCCTCCTCCTCCCAGGTGGGGGTATTTAAGTTCTCAGAGAACCACTGTCTGTGCCTCGTGCTCTTTGTGCTTCTCGAGTCTCCTGCCTGCTGACCACCAGGGGAAGGCAGGTCTGCCGCCCTGATGCCTGGGGCTTGGTCCGTGGAGCAGCCAGGGTTCGGAAGGTCACCACCAGAGGGCACTGCAGCCTCTGCATCTTTCCCGTAGTTCGAAAGCCTTTTTGACACTGGAAGTTCGGGTGCACTCCTGGGGGTGTCCTGACCCCCACCCCTCAGCTTACCGTCCTGAATTCTTGCAGTGAGTGCTTAGGGAGGGGGACCAAGACCCTCAGCGCCGGCTGGGACCTACGCCATCCTGGAGGTCACCCGCCCTCCACCTCCCTCCCTTTGCCTCAGAGGCTGTGGAATGTGGGGGCGGTCTGCGCAGGTTTACTTCCAGGAGGCCACACTCAGGCCCGGGCAGGTCTGCTGGTCACCTTGTCTTAGCTTCTGGATTCTTGGGGAGGGTGAAGAAGCCAACAGGTTTGGTTGAATTTTCTCCCCACATATGGGCCTCAGCTACTTCCCTACAAATCCCCTTTGGCCAGAGTTCACAGCTGGTGTCCATGGCCATGCTTTGGCTCTCAAAGGGGCCTAAACTTTTAAAATTAGTTATATTTTTAAACTATGAAATTTCCCCTTCCTCTGAGTAAGATTACACATAAAAATCTAGATTTCTGGGGGCCAGTCTGGTGGTGTAGTAGTTAAGTTGGCACTCTCTGCTTTGATGGCCCAGGGTTCAAGGGTTTGGATCCTGGGCGCAGACCTACACACTGCTCATCCAAGCCATGCTGTGGTGGCTTCCCACATACAAAATAGAGGAAGACTGGCATAGATGTTAGCTCAGGGCCAATCTTCCTCCCCCCAAAAAAATAAAATAAAAATCTGGACTTACGGTTTGCCTAGAAAAATGAAAAGATCTGGTAATATTTCCACAGGACAGCAACTGGCTGGGCTGAGCTGCCTGCCTAGGGTGGTGTGCTTGTTTTCTAGTTTGCCACAGGCCCCACCACTCCTTTTTATCCCTGTCCTACTTCACCCTTTGGGTCTTCCATCAGGCTCTTTAGGCACTGGGGTTTGTCCTACACTAGGAGTTGGCAGACTTTTCCTGTAAAGGGCCAGATGGTAAATATTTTAGGTTTTGCGGGCTAGATGGTTTCTGTCACAACTGCTCTAGTCTGCAGTTGTAGGGCAAAGCAGCCAATGCATAAATGAATGGGCGTGGCTGTGTTCCAATAAAAATTTATTTACAAAAACAGGCAGCGGCCAGATTTGGCCCACAGGCTGTGGTTTGCTGACCTCTGTCCTAGACTATCATTTGTCCACTAGGCCTTTGATTCTGCTAGAACAAGAGGTCCTTGGTCTGAACACTCTGTTGACTCCCCAGGGTATGGCAGGGCCTTGGGGAACCAGGGTGGGGTGGGGTAGGGTGGACTTCAGAATTCCCTTTTCCTACCACTTGACTTCAGAGAGCCTCAGGCTTAGTGGGGGCTGCAGCACTGCAAGGGGGGGCTGAGGCAGGAGCCCCCTGAAGCCATTATCCCTTCTTAGGCAATGCTGACTCCCAGGCTCACTCAGGAACCCAGCAGCTGTCATCTCTGGGGCAGTAGAATCACCTGGGGCACTTGTTTAACTGCTCCTGGAGCCCCGACCCCAGACCTTCCAGGAGGTTCAGGGAACCCGCGGCTGGGGGTTGATCAGGTCCCTTCTCGCAGGTGGCCAGGATGGTCTCAGCTCCAGAGCTCCACATCTTGGCAGAAGTGGAGGCTGTGAGGGACAGAGGGGAGCTTGATGACTTTAAATGACCCAGCGCTGTCCTTTTGCAGATAAGGAAACAGTCTTTAGAGAGAGAACTGACTCGCCCAAGATCACTCAGAGCTGTTGTCACTTTTCATCTCGAGTTTCTGGCAGTGGGGGGTTGCAGGTGAGAGGAGTTCGGATGGGTGGTCCAGAGTCTACTCTTTGCTTTTTAAAGTGAGTTTCTTCTTGGGCATATGTGACCTGCTCTGGAAAGATGGCAGCCAAGCCGAAGGCTGAGACTCAAGTCCTGTGTGGGGTGGAGGAGGGAGGGAGGTTGGGTAGGCGCTGGTGCCTGTACTCTCCTGATAGGCTCTGGTCCCTTCGTGGCCCCCAGGTTCCTGGGGGAAGGAAGCAAGAAGCTGGAGGATGCAGCCAGGCCTATCTGAGGAGCCCAGGGAGGCGGGTAATGTGGGAGCTGCAGGCTTGGGGGGCGCTATGTGGAGTGGTGCCAAATCCACATTTACCCACGTACCAGATGTTTTACATTTCAAGCACAGGATTTGAGGACCTATTGGCTGTGCAAAGGGGGGACACATATGGCTGGGGGGGAGGTTGTGAAGAGGGCACTCCTGGGTCCTAGGGACAAATGCTACTTCCAGGGTACAGAGGGACTGAGTCCAGCACCCTCACCTACCATCACGCAGGCCACAGCTCCAGTGAGCCCAGAGGTGAGCTCATGATCAGAGCTCCAGCTGAGAGAGTTCCAGAATGTTCTAATAGTGTGGCCCCAGGCACTGGAGATGCCCAACTCCAAGTGTGCTTCGAGAGTTGGGTCTGGGACCGGATCCTGGGGAGCAGTCTGGGCCTAGGGAGCCAGGCCCTGTCAGTCCTGTTGTGAGGGCCATGTGCCCCCGAAGGGTCAGAGCAGCAGGCACACGCGGTTTTTTTTCTGCCTCTGTGCTTTCTTCAGAGCACTGAGGGCAACCTTGGCGGCCTCTCGGAAGACATCCTCCACATTCTCCCGAAACTTGGCGGAACATTCCAGGTAGAGGGCAGCTTGGATCTGTTCGCAGGCGCTCTGGCCCTGGTGGGGGAGGGGCCGGCATTAGATGAGGGGCCTGGAGCATGGGGTGCCTCCTGACACCCCCTTGGGGGTTTGGGGCTGGCGTTGGGGACTCTCCAGGGGCAGAGGCCTTGGTGTGGGGCCCCTCTCTCCACCCCAGGGCCAGCCCCACCAGTGAGTGTAGATGAACACGGCCTGTTCGCTGTGGCCCACGGGCTGCAGCTGCTGGGAGAGGCCGCTCCTGGCCTACTCCTACCCGCCCTCCAGCCTCGGCAGAGAATGGCAGCACGGGCGGGCGAGGTCGGTCTCTGCCAGGCCTGAGAGAAGACCTGAAGGCCCCAGGACAAGAAGGGCTCCCTGCAGGCCTCTCCCTGTCTCTTCTCCAGAGCACAATTTAGGCAACTGAGCTTGCCATTAGAGGAAAAGATATCTTTATTTCTAAAACAAATTTACTTTTATTAGTGCTTGCTTCTTTTTATTAAACTTTATTAGTTTTCCTTTGTGTTCCTTTTATTCTCCCAAGCCTCACCCAGAAGGCCGTGCCGTTTTGCTTTGCCCACGACTCTCCTAGGTAGGGGAAGCCTGCTTTTGAATGAGGGCCTGCCCCTCCGGTCCCCTGGGGAGATGGGACGGGGCGGCGGGGGGGGTGTGGCTAAGAGCCCAGACTCGAGCCAGAGTGACTAGGACAGGATCCTGACTCCACTTCAGGTTAGCTGTGTGACCCTGGGCAAGCTACTTAACCTCTCTGGGTCTCAGTTTCTCCCCTGTAAACTTGGGGATGCTAACAGTCCCTGCCTTAGGGTCATAAGGGTTAAATGAGGTAAGTAAAGTGTTCACATAAGTAGGCTCTCAATATTAATATCTTCAAATTAGCATTCTTAGAATCCTGCGTGCTTCAGCTCCCCAAAAGGCCACTAAGGCACCCCAGTTGCAGAGGCCAAAGGCCTGAGAGGCTTTTCACCTACGGTTGTGCCCAGGGACCTGGGCCCCTGGTGGGAAGGGAAGGGGGCCCCTGGCCGACCTGCATGTAGGTGATGGGCTCCAGCTGGGCCGCCCGGAGCTTCCGCAGCTGCTCCTTGTCCTTCCTTAGGTCTGTCTTGCAGCCGATGAGCACCATGGGGGTCCCACGGCAGAAATGAGTGACCTCAGGGAACCACTGTCAAGGGAGAGGGCGGGCATCAGGGCTGGGGCCGGATCCGTGGTCCCCAGCCCCAGGTGCAGGCTGGCTGGGAGATGGGCCTCACCTTGATGAGGACGTTGTCATAGCTGGTGGGGTTCATGACGTCATAGCAGATGAGCACGAGGTGGGTGTTCTGGTAGGACAGGGGCCGCAGCCTGTCGTAATCTTCCTGCCCTGAAACCGGAGAGCAGGTGGGGGGTGAGGGAGGCACCACTTCCTTGTCCACCTGAGTCCCCTGTCTGGGCTCAGATGGGTGAGGGGGTGGGGTCTCCTGGGCAAGTGACTCCATGTCTCTAGGCCTCAGTTTCTTCACCTATAAAACAGAGGTAGCAGCCCGCAGCCCTGGACAGTAGCCAAGATTACACAAGATAAAACCCATGCAGTGCTCAGAACTGGGCCCGAGTACCGGGTACGTGCTGGGAGAACAGCTAGCAATTACGCGATGATGATTACATCCCCCCACCTGCCCTGGTGCTCAGGTTGAAAGTGCAGACTCAGAAGCCCCATCCCTCCCCTCCCCGAGTGGGGCAGGGCACTGCAGTTAACCGTGGAGGGTGCCCCCAGGCTCAGGGGTGCGTGGCCTCCGGCTGAATTCCTCCTGCCATTCCGGTACACGCCAGGAGGACTGTCAGGGGATGGCTGGAGATGACCAGCACGCTCCCGCCCAGAGCCACCTGCACAGCAGTTGTCAGCCCCGCTGCATATCAGCCTCACCTGGGCAGAACCGAACACTCCAGGGGCTCGCCGCCCCCGCCCCCCCCTTCCCCCAGCACCAACTGAATCAGAACCCAAGGCTTGGCTTCAGCAACAGTGGGTTTGGTTTTTAAAAACTTTTTTAGTAATTTTTTATACTCACCATTTCAAACATACAGAAAAATTGCAAAAAAGCATGCAAAGAACTCCCTACTCAGAGGCACCAAGTGTTTACACTTGGCCCACCCCTCCCACCTCCCCCTGTTATCTATATATAAATGCCTTTGAAGCACATGAGAGGTAATTGCAGGCGCTCGGCTTCTTTGCTCTAGAATCGGTCGTGGATTTCCTAAGAACAAGGACGTGCTCTCACCTCCCACAGTCCCCGGATCGAACCCGAGGAGCCACCGCTGACAGTGTTCTCTAATCCAGCCCACAGGCCGAGTCAGATCTCACCCATAACGGCCTGTGGTCTTTTTGTCCTGGTCCAGAAGCAGGCCCAGGACCGCGCTTAGTTATCATGCCCGGCATTTCTGAAAGACTCCCGAGTGAGACCCACCCTGGGAAGGGTGCTGTGACTTCCCAACACAGAGGCCCAGGGTCCCCCACCCTCGCTCCTCCCTCTAGCCTGTGGGGGCCTGGGTAGCACCCGCCTGTCCTCCCCTCCCTCCCTGCCAAAGGCCTCTCGGGACAAGTGGCCTCTCCACTGAGCGAGGCCAGGCCACCTCCTGCTCCTGGCTCCCCTCTGATGACAGGGCACGGCCACCCTCTCCCTTTCCCACTGGCTTTTCCTCAACCCAGGAGCCCTAAGGGGGTGCAGTGAACAAGAGCCACAGTTATGACGACAGCTGGCCCAGGAGGACTGTCCATGCTGTGGTGCAGCCAAAGTCCCCCCAGCACTGGAGGGAAGGTGAGGGGTGGTCGGGGCCCACGGGACTCAGATCCTCCTGCCCTCATTGCCACAAACAAAGCTGGAGAAATCCTTGTAAGACGGTGGGAAACGGGTCCAGCATGCTATTCCAGCCCATCCCCCCTTTCCACGTACATCCCCAACTGTCCCCTCTCCTAACCTTTGTCCATGTCTTTCTAGACTTGTGCCGTCCGATAGGGCAGCTGCCAGCCCCATGTAGCTACTTAATGAACATTAAAAATTCAGCTTCTCTGTTGCACTAGCTACGTTTCAAGTGATTAACTGCTACATGCAGCTGGTGGCTACCGTAATGGGCAATGCAGGTGCAGAACGTTTCCATCATTGCAGAAAGTTCTGTTGGACAGCATGGCACCGTCCTCGTCCAAGTCACCGTTGGTCTGCTATGCCGCCTCCTCCCTGGCCTCCTGCTGCTCCTTGATGAATCCATTCTCCACCAGGCAGCTGGATGGATCTTAAAGCACAAGTAAAATCCTGCCCCTCTCCCTTCAACTGAAACACTCAGTGGCTCTTGATTGTCCTTTGGGTAAATCCAGCATCTCCTGGTGGTCCATCTGACCTGGCACCCACGGACCTCGACCTCATCTCCCTCTCTCGATGCCCCCTCACTCACTGCAGTCCAGCCAAGATGGCCTCCTCACTGTTTCTCACACCCATCAAGCTCTTGTGCCTCAGAGCCCTTGTACTTGCTGTTCCCCACACCTGGAATACTTTCCCTCATTTTTGTTTTCCATTTTCTTCCTAGCATTTTATTTTTAAATATTCAGACTGACCATCTGCATTATTTCCTTTTTCAGGATAATTGCCTTCTCACTATTTCTACTTAATAATAATACCACCTGATACTTCATATGCATTTTACAGTGCTTTTGCCTGTAAGTGATTAAGAAGTCCTTACAACTACCACCTGACGTGCCAGTCGGGGAACTTAGGAATACGCCCATTTCCGTATAAAGAGAGTGAGTTTCAGAGAAGTGAAGCCGCCCACCTGAGGCCACTGAATTAGTGACTGAGCCAGGACCCAACCCCAGTTCATTAAATTCCAAGTCAACACAGCAATGCTCTATTCTGCTTTGCTTTGTGCAAAAATAGGTGCTAGGCCTCTTCGCTGCCATGATGCCGTTCATCATTCTGACAATACAGACATTCTCATTCCCTTCTAGAAATACGGCAGGAGTGGACACGCAGTTGTTAAGTGGGGCTCTGACGTCTTCCCTCATCTCGCACAGCTGATTCCTGTGAGAGGCCTTCCCTCCTCCCTCGAAGTCCACCCCGTTTGTCCACAATCTTTACTCATCCATGGACCTGCCGTCTCCCCATGGACTGTAAGCACCCAGAGGGCAGGGACCAAGTCTGTCCTTAAAAATACTTCCCGGCCCCCAGGAGGCGTCCACTCAATAATACTGACTGGTTGTTGAGGTTGTTCAGCTCTTGTCAGATGAGCAGAGACGACGGCCGAGATGTGCCCCCGGGGTTTAGCAATTACGGCCTCTGATGATTTCAGCAGAGGCAATGAGAGCAGAAGTCGGGCTGTGGCGGGTTGAGGGAGGAAGTCAGACCAGCCCTGCTCCCCATCAGGGCAGAGCCCTCTTCTAGAAGGCTCTTCCCCAGGTAACAGCACAGCTCATTCCCTCCTTTCCTTCAGGTCTCTGCAGAAATGTCACCTCCTCCCAGAGAACTTTCCCAAGGACTCTGACACCACAGCCTCCTTTGCAGTCTGTCGGCTTTATTTTCCCATGTAGCGCACACACTTCCTGACCTCGCAATATCCGTCTGCGTTTTTTGTCTCCCCCATGAGCACGTATGCCCCCTGAGGCCAGGGGCCGGCTCTGTCCTCGGGACAGTGACACACCGGGGAGACAGCAAGCTCTGCGAGTGTGGTGAACGAACAGATGAGTGGGTGCGTGAAGACAGTGGGAAACTCATCTACTCGTCGGTGTGGCTTTCAGCCTTGGGAGAGCACTTCGCTTCTATCCTGTGTTAATTCAAGCAGCCACCCGGGAGGGGAGCTGGGCCCAGGAAGTTCTTCCTGTTAAGAGCCCACGTGGCCGAGGGGGCCTTTTTCAAGGTCATAGACAGGCTGCCTGTGAGCTGGAGTGCCAACTCAGTCCCCAACTCCAAGGTCAGCTGCCTGCCAGGCCACTCGAAACGCGCCAATTCTCCCAGGAAGCCTTCCCCAGCCTTCCCAATGTGGAATTAACTTCTGGACCTCAGTTTCCTCATCTGCGAAACGGATATGTGGGAAGCAGATGGGGCTTGATGACAATAATAAAAATGGTAAATATGGGCAATATTTATGGAAGAATGCTCACTCATCATACACCAGGCCCCATCTAAAGTCCTTTACCTACACTCATTCCTTACTACGACCCTACAAGGTAGGAATATTGTTATTCCCATTTTACAGATGCAGAAACTGAAGCACAGAGAGGTTAAGTGACTTGCCCAAGGTCACACAGCTAAGGGGAACTCTGTAAACGACAGAGGACCATAGGTAGGACGGTCGGGATGCCTCTCTCTCAGTCCACCCTAGAGGGTACGGACCTGTCCTCACCCTACAAGCATCAGCTCTGACCAAATGAGGAAAGGCTGCCAACCCAGGCATCTCAAAAGAGAGAGGGACTCCAGGAGGGGCTGAGCAGGCAGCCCAGATCCCAGCTCCCCCTCCGGGTTGCCTTCCTGGCTTAAATGTGCCTGGCTCAGCTCTCCCCGGGATTTGGTGTGGGCCTCCACTTGGGGACCAGGCCTGCAGTCTGGACTTCCGGGTGCCGTTGACCTCGTCTCCTTGGGAGGGGAGTGTTCTAGCCATCTCTCCTGTATGAGTCAGGAGAGCCAGGCTCCACTCAGACTCACGTTCTGTGACCTTCCACCTTCCCTCTCTGGTCCTCAGTTTCCTTATCTGGAAAAGGGGGTGATAACCCTGCCCCTGATACTGAAAGTAAAGGACTTTCAATGCTGAGCAAAGGTGAGAGATGGCTCCTGTCGTTATGACTGAAAATAGAAACTCCCAACGGCCAGGGGCCAGGGTGGGGGGTTCTAACCCTGAATCTTTGGCCCCACAAGCTTTGAGGGCCTCCCAGCCATAAGGTGATACCTCCCATTTACCAACAGCGATGCCGAGACTTAAAGGGGCTGAGCCACCTGCCCACAGGCAAACAGGGATCCCCCTCAGGCCTCTGAAGATGTGCTTGAGAGGTTAAGAAAGCCCCCGAGTTACGTTCAAAGGCATCTGTTTCTGGAGAGGAAAGGTCTGAGCCCCGGCTCCCCTCAAAGCTGCTCATCTTCCTGAGGTTGGCGGGGCTGTGGGGTGGGAGGAAGTGAGGCTCTCGCCTCCCACCAGGGTATTTCCTTTGTGGGAAGGAGCTTTGCCGCGGCAGTCATCTTTCTGGGCCGAGGGGTCTCTACGGCCAAGCTGGGTTGAGGAGAGAGGGTGTCATGGGGCCACAGTGGTGCCCACATCAGCTGGAGGGACAGACACAGGGCCGGCGGCTCCCAGCTCCAGCAGGGGCGTTGGTCAGGGGAGGGGCGCAGGCAGCGTGAGAAGCAGCTGCTGGAAGAGGAACCCACTTCTACTAGCACTACTGGGGCCCACCCACCTGCGTTTCCTTCCCCAGAGACAGGAGGGGCTGGGGTGGGGGCAGCCCCAGCCTGGAGCCGAGAGCACATTCTGACCCACCCACAGCTCGGCTCCCCAAGCTTCCAGTGCTCCTGGCTCCTAGACACCCCTCCTGTGCCTGATTCCTTGTCTTAGCAACCACTTTGTCCCTCACTTTTCCTACTGTTCCCATCTCAGGCTGGGAAGGGGACCACGGCTCCCCACCTCCCTGGGCAACCCCCACCCCATCCTGTGATGCCCCAACCCTGGGCCCCACCCAAGGCCCAGATAGCTGTCTCTGGTTGGTGTCTTAACATCCCACCTCGTGCCCCCCTCCCCTCTGCCCAGGAAACTTCAGACCTCACCACAGCTTCCTGCCTCTGAGGGCGTCAGGCCCGATGGGCGAGGCTGCTAGGGTAATGGGTGCTCACAGCCCCCACCCCTTCACCTTTGAGCACTGAGAACTCTGTAAACCCTCCATCTACCCTCCCACTGCTGCGGTGTCTGTAACTGCTTCTGCGGGACGGAGACAAGTGGCCTCCCACGTGGACTCCTGCGACCGAGGCCCTGGGTGTGGAGAAATTCAGCCTCCCAGGGGCCACCCTTGTCCCAGAGCTCTGGTCATCACAGGTTGGTTGGAAAGATGCTGCCCTGCCCACTCCCATCCCCCACCCCGGGGTCGTGCCCATCAGGTTCTAGAACCTTCTGCAACAACCTTTACTAGACTCATCTCCAGCTCAGCCACTTCCCTCACCCCCCTTAGTCTCTGTCTTTTTCTAGTTGGTAACCTGGCCATCCTTTTCTGCCACGTTCTCCTGACATCTGTCCACCCCATAGGTAGAGACAAATCTCATTGGCTTTATCACACAGGACCTTCTCCAGGGGCCTCTCTGCATCCAGATTTATTTTTCATTCCACAAGCCTCACTCTAGGACAAGCACCGTGCTGGGCACTGGTGTACGTAAGAGGAATGACCCAGTCTCTCCTTCACTCTGCTCCCGATGATGGGCTTCCCAGGTCACAGTGGGACCCCCTTGAGGTGGCAGCAGCTCTGTTTCTCCCTCCTTTGGCTGTCCTGCTGACTGTGAGGCCAGTCGGCCAGTCTACTCCCCCAGGGCTCCAGCTGGAGGTTCAAACCCCAGCTCTGCTTTTCTGCTGCTTGAAAGACTACTGCTGGGAAAGCGGGGGTGGGGGCCAGCGCAGAGCTCCGCCTGACAGATCCAGAAGGGGCTCAGGCTTGGGGCTTGGCCTGAATGGTGGAGGTTAACAATCACAATGACAACACTTAGCCGTTCCCAAGAGAGAAAACCCAGTGCTAAATGCTGCATGTCGCACAGATCTGATTTAACCCTCACGACTATTGTAGCCCTGATTACACATGAGGAAACTGAGGCCCAGGTGTCCCTGATGACCCAGCCAGGGGAGCTGGCGTCAAAGCCCAGGTCTGACTCCAAAGCATGTGGCAGGAAGTCACGGACGGGACTATCATTGTCCAGGGGGGTCGCATGCTTCTGATGACGAGAGATGGGGCTCCCTCCGTCCCTCCCACAGCAGCAGTTAGTGCAAAGCCTTCCGTACACCGAGGAGAAGCTTTCTGGAGCCTCCACACAACAATCTAACGGGTTCTTTGAGCATCTTTCTCTGGGTGAAGTTAGAAAGATCAGAAGTGGCTCCTGCGCTGGGTCTCATGGGAGAGGCTGAGTGAAGGGTGAACTCTGGGGATCTGATAGGGGAGGCCCCGAGGTCAGGGGAAGGAAGAGAAAGTGAAAACTCTCCTCTGGCTCTCCCAGCCTGTCAGCCCTTCACCCATAAAGTGGGGCTAATGGACCTGCCCCTCCCTGGCTCCTGGATGGGAAACATATGAAACTTCAGGTGTCCCAGGCATACCACCATTTTTACTGCTTTCGTGACCTCGCCCTCGGGAATTCCTCAGAAGCCTTTGGCTTTCCCAGTTCAGTGGGCTGGAGGCATGGCCCTGTTCTGGGGGCAGCCCTGCAGGGCTCTCATCCAACAAGAGGGGATCCTTAGAGGCCACTCAAGGCGGGGCACACCTGTACAGCAAAGCCTGCCAAAGTCAGGAACAGAGGGAGGGTCTGGGACTGGGGCGAACCTTTCTCTGATCCTCTCCAGGATGGAACGAGAGATGCTAGTGGCAGCCTTGGGGACGGGGTGGGGGTGTCTGGGTTTTGGCTCCATCCAAGACCAGTTGGCAACTTCACCTCACACATACAAGGCTTGGCTTGCAAGGGAACCTGATGACATGATTCCACGCAGGTCATTAAACACTGAGTCACAGAGGCTGGGTGAGGCCCCAGCTGGGGATCCTGACCTTTGCTCCCCAATACTGACCTTTGGCCCAAAGGGGAGCCAGAGCAGGACGGAAGCTACCCGAAGGCAGCCCCCTCAAGTGTTACCCAAATCCTCCCAGTGGCTGTGCTCCTCCACTCATCCCCCAGCAACAGGGACCCTGATGACTGTCGCAGTTAGTTAGCGTAAATCCCCTTGCCTTAGGAGCTGCAGGTGGCAGAGAGGATCTTATCTTGGATCTTCATTCCTTAGAGCTCTGTTCCATCATCAGTGCCTGGTTTCTTCCCAGGGAATCGAGAAGACACAGACCTGTAGCCACAGAATCCTAGAACCACAGGCTTTAAACTGTAGACCACAGAATTCCAGAATCACACACTGTATTCCAGGGAATCCCAGAAGCATGGGACTCAGAACTTGGGTGCACAGGACTGTGGAGTCTCAGAACTGTCAGCCACAGAATCTTGGAATCACAAGCTCTGATCAGTCACCTAGAGTATTCCAGAAGCACAGAACCCAGAAATGCAGCCCACGGAATCATAGCACCAGGGCATTCAAATCTGCAGCCCACAGAATCTTAAGAGACCACAGCATGTAAGGCACGAAATCCTGGAACCATGGGAAGCAGAAGTAAAGCCCGTGGTTTTCTAGAACTACAGAAGAGAAACGAAGCCGTGGGTCCTCAGCACATCACGCTAGCAGGGTGTTCCAGAAGCTCACCTCCTCCAAATACCCTCCTTTGACAGATGGAACGACTGAGGCCTTTTTGGACTCCAGGCGGTGGTTAACCGGCCCCCAGCCAGCGCCCCTCCGCGGCCTCCATGAGTGATGGGATGTCAGGGCCCCGCAAAGGCTGACGGGCCCGGGATGCCCGGCGGGGGATACCCCTGCAGGGGAATCCCTTCGGGCGGACCCCGGGACCCTCGGCGCGCAAGCGCACTCACCGGCGGTGTCGTAGAGATTCAGGGTCACCTCCTTGCTGCCCACAGTCACGCTGGCCGTGTACTTCTCGAACACGGATGGGGCGTAGTGCTGTCGGAGAAGGGGTCGGGTTGGATCTTAAGGGGTGGTGCGAAGACTCAGAGTCCGGCTGGACGCCCCCTCCACCTTCACCGCATCCGGCCCAGCCTCCCCCTCACCCCGCTGGGCTCTGGAATTCCCGAGGGAGCGCCCCGGGGTGGCGGCCGCCTCTCCACGCGCAGGACGCCGGGGACCCGGGGTCCGGGCTCGTGGCGCAGGCTGAGGGCCATCCCTCGCCCCCAGTCGCCCCAAGCAAGTCCCCTCCACCCAGCCTACCTGCCTCCATCCCCCCGGCGGGCCTCACCTCGGGAAAGGAGCCCTGGCTGTACACCATGAGCAGCGAGGTCTTGCCGCAGCCGCCGTCGCCCACGATCACAATCTTCAGCTCCTTCCTGCCCGGGCTCGGGCCCGGGGCGACGGTCGGGGCCGGGGCCCCGGGGGCGTCCATAGCCCGGAGCCGGCAGCACTGGCGGTGGCTCGCCCGGCGGAGCGCAGGGGCTGAGGGATCAGCGGTGGGGGCCGCCCCCGGGGCGGTGCTAAAAGATACCCCGCCCCTTCGGAGCTGGCACAGCCTCCGCCAGGCAGCCACCTGGGCCGACCTCCCAGCCTGTTTCCTTCTTGCTAGGGTCCTGGCCCAGGGCGTTCACCTCTCATTTCCAGGGAAACTGAGGCAACTGAGAAACGGAGTGCTCAGCGGCAAGCGCAGCTCCCACCCCCTCACCCGCGCGTCACGGCGCGCCCCCCACAGGCAAGATCCGAACATTTCGGCCGCTCCTAGCCCGGCACCCCTGATTGGCAGGCTCCGCCTTCCGGCAGGGTCCCTCTGATTGGCCGGCTCGGCCTCCCCCATCAGCCAGGGATTCTTCGATTGGCGGACTGTCCCTCCAGCACTCGGGTTCGAGGAGCCTCGGTCTCCAGCTCTGGGAACCCCCGCCCCGCCCCAGCTTAGCCCCGCCCCAGCTGCGCGGCCTGGGGCAAGCCCGCCTCTGACCTCAGTTTCCCCGAAGGAGGTAGGTTGGTGGTGCCAGGGAAGACGATGGCACGGGGGTCGTGTCTGCCCACCCGGTGTGGCCGTCCGGACACCTGTGCGGCTGCGGGTTGAGGGTGGGGAACTGCGGTTCCACTTACCTACCCCTCACCTCCCTGGGGGCGCAAGGTGGACGTCTGGCGCCCTCTGCCGGGCGATCGCCTCGGCGCGGGCGGCTTGGGGAGCAGGTGAACCTCCCCGGAACAACACCCTTTCGGGGGTTGGCCCCAAACCACGCTGGCGGGAACCTCTTTCTAGCAGGGGCCAGAGGCGTGACCCGAGCAAGACACTGTCGAAGAAGGGACGGGGAAAGCCAGGGTAGATCTAGTGGAGATAGCTGGACCCTACTCCATCCGCTTTGGAGATTCATTAACACCCACCCCCACCCAGAAATTTGTATTCTCCAGCTAGCAGCCACATATCCTTCATCCCAAGGATTCTCCTTAATCCTCCCACCCCCCTAATCAAAACAGCTATTTACTGAGCACACTATAAGGACAGGCATTACCAGGGCGGCGGACAAGATCGCCCCTGCCCTTCCATCCCTGCGACCCTGGGGTCCTTTGGACAAGCCAAGCCAACGGTCGGAGGGACAGAGGAACCCCTGGACCCGGTGCGCGGCAGGCAGGCACTGAGGCATGGCCAAGTGAGAGAGCAGGGTCCTCCCAGCTGGGGTAAGACCTCGAGTGGTTTGCTCAGAGGGGCTGGCAGGACTCAGGATCCTCTTGCCCCCCACCCCCACCCCGAAGATTCCCAATTTTCAAGTTCTCAGCAAAGACCAGGTAAACTACTTCGGGGAGGAAACTGCCAAGCTGGCAGTTCCACAAATGCCAGGTCAAGGTTTTCAGTGGATCCAAGTCAGGATCTGACCACCAGATGGCAGCATCGACTGCCCGTGGAAGCCCCAAGAGCCCAGAGCTGGAAACAGGACAGAAGGCCCAGCTCCAGGTTGCTGGGTGGAGGCCCCATCCTGTCACCAGGAGTCAAACACCCCTAAACAAATTTACAGCAACTCATTCATTCCTTTTTGCAACACAAGTTTATTGAGAGGCAATTATGTTCCTGCCTGAGAGGAGCTCAGTCTTGGGGGAAGAGGTCTAAAGGAGTTTGGGAGATGTGAACAACTTAGAGGACAGAGTCCCTGTGGGGTTCAGGGAAGGTAGGGCTCTGGGTGGCACATGAACTAAGCTTGGCAGTGCTGGGAGGGCAGGCCAGTGGAAGCAGGATGGATACCTAGCCTGAGCAAATGCATGGTGGCTCGAAAACCCCAACAGGTTCGGCAGTGGTGGGGGAGTGAGGAGTGAGGCCAGACATGGTTGGCAAGGTAACCAGGGTTAGATCATGGAAGGCTTGGCTGCCAGGCTCATGCTGGGTACTGGACAGAAGGCTCCTGAACAGGAGGAACCCAGCCAAAGCCGGGACCTCAAGCTCTCTCTGGTGACCAAGGAAGAGCTGTGATTGGCTGGTGGGATAGGCATGGGGCTGGGGCCATCTTTCCATAGAGGCAGCCTAAGGCTGGCAAGAGAGGAGACCAGGTCCAGGGACATGTCAGAAGTGAGGTTCCCCAGGACCATGGGGGGAGGCTAGGGCATCCCATCACTCAGGGAGGGGGAGCATGGAAGAGGGTTTTGAGTGAGGGGAGGACCACTTACCTTCGCAGCCAGCCCCAGGCCTCTCCCCTCTGGCTGCCTCAGGCGTCACCCTGAAGCTCAGGGGGGACTGGAGGGTAAGAGAGGGAGGGAGGCTGCCTCATCTGGGAGAGGCCTGGGGAGAATTCACTTAGGAGGGTCTGAGCAAACTGTGTCACCCGAAACAGGGTTAACCGCACGAGCCCATGGGAAGGCTCCTGACTTTGCTCTGATCTCAGTTTCCACCCATCTGAGAAATAGGGCTACGATTTAGACTTATGACAGAACAAATGACTTACACGAAACTGAGGGGAGGGAGGAAGAGGAAAAGTGATTCTTCTCAGCTCTGCCTGAGTCCAGGCAGAACAGCTGATGCTGGCCCCAGCCCGCCCACCCACCCACCCCTGCCTGGCCAAGGCTGGCAGAACCCCAGCCCCACCCAGCCTGGAGCGTGTTGGACTTGGACCCAGCTCCAGTGGTGGTGCAGGGGCTAGATCTGTAGCTAAAAATACCCAGGAGCCAGGCCAGCTGCTTGGAGCTTCCTCAGAGGCGGCCGGCCTGGGCAGGCCACCCGAGGCGGCCGGCACACCCACAGGCATGGGGAGCCCCACTCCCTTACCTATGAGATTGTCTGAGGACCCACGTCATTCTCTCTATTCACCAGGCATTCCTGGAGACTGAGGAGGGCCACGATTCTTTAAACTGGTTCTTGCTACAGAGTTGTTGGGACACAGAAGCCTAGGGGAGCTGGCCAGGTGGCATTTGTGGGGTGCCTGTGCCATACTGAGGCCAACTGAACACAGGAGAGAAGTAGGGGCCAGATCACTTCTGTCTTATCAGGGCAAAGGTTATGATGGGGAAGTTAATGGTAATTCTTACGGCTTCCACCTCCTTGTCCCTCAGAATATCCTGAGATCATCCACCCTAGATGAGGCAGAAGAAACTGAGCCTTCACAGATTAAGCTGTTCTTTGAGGTCCCAGAGATGGGAGATAGCCAAGGCCATCTGCCCTCACCCCAGGACTCCCTGCAGGCTTCAGCACTTGGTGGGGGAGAGTACAAAAAGCTCCCCTCTCACAAAGCCAGACTCAGAAACAAGATTATCAGGCCAACTTCCCCCTCCAGGTTCACACGGGGAGACCACTGTTCCCAGAGGGGCGGGGACATGCCGAGGTCACTAGCCAGTTGGAGACAGCACTGGACCCAGATGGCCTCTGAGATGGCGGGGTACCTCTCTCTCTACAGTCCGAGAAGAGGCCTCCCGTCTGGCCCAGAGGGTCCAAAAGGTCGTATTCCACGCTGGGGCTCTCGGAGGGGCCGGAAGAGGCGGGGCTCTGGCGTCCAGTAGTAAGGCAGGTCCAGCCACCTCCCTGCCTTGGGCCGCCCTGCTGCTGGCGTGGCCCTTTGGGCAGGCCCCACCGGCTTGGCGCCAGGACCAGCCCCGCCCCACGCTCCCTGGGTGACCGGTGGGCGGGGCCACCCTCACGGCCAGCCAGGAGGAACAGCAGCCTGCGGACAGGTTGCCCCGCCCCTCCCGGGCTCCACGAGGTGACACTGGGAAGGGGGGAGGGGGAGGTCAAAGAAATTAGAAGGGGTGAAAGAGAAATGGAAGCAGTGAGGGAGTACCACCTTCCAGGCTGTGAGGATGCCTCTCCCTTCCAAGAATCACACCTAGACCACAGTTCCGCACCTAATTGCTCCCTAATTGGTCCGAGGGCTGGAGCAGAGGAACTGGCTGTAGCCCTCCAGGGTGCTGCTAGGCAGGGAAGGTTTAAATCATTTCACCATCCCATGCCCATGGGAGGTAAAGACCCCTGCCGGGGGAGCCCCTAGGACTCTATTCAAAGGGACGCAGGACGCTCTCAGTCGGCCGACCCGTCTCCTCAGTGGCAGAGCCAAATAGAAACCTCAGGTTTGGGGCAAGTGTGGAAGGAGGGCAGAGGCTTGAGATGCTAACAGTAGTGTGAGTGCAACAACTCTGCAAAGTGCCTTCCCCTCTCCCCTCACCCCAGGTAGGGGGAAGGCTGCGGCAGGGTGCACCCCCTTCCCCCCCAGCAAAGGACAAGATGGACCAAACCCAGCTTATCTGGGGTTGGAAACCCTCACAGGGCCAAGGCTTGGCAGCCAGGAGGAGCCAAGAGCAGCACGCTGCTTACTTTCAACCAGACAGCTTTCCCAGCTCCCGGGCAGTGATGCCAGCAGACAGCTGGCATGGGAAGCAGCCCAAAATAACCCAGACAGCTGGGGTGAGGGGGTGCCATGGACACAGGCCCTGGGCTGGAAGTCAAGACACCTGGAACCCCATCCTGGCTGCTCGTGGTGGCCTTGTGACCTTGGGTGAGTCACTTCTACTCTCTGGGTGGGTGCGTGATCCAAAATCGTATCGGATCATGGAAAAGCCTGTGGAGCTGGGGGCAAGCCACCATCCCGACTCAAACTACAGAGGAGGAAAAACAGCGCTGGCTCTCTGCCTGCAGAAAGGCAGTCTTCCCTTTGCCCTGAGGCTTTGCCACGTGCTTGGGGGGGGAGGGGCTGGTGGGGGAGGAGCTCGAAGACAGCCCAGCCCCCACTCCCTGCAGCCACACTAGAATGGAGGCCAACTAGTGTGAAGCCAGAATGCGAGGCCGGCCCCCTTAATCGCACTAATCCTCCCACCACCGTTTTCAGCATTCATTATTATCATTTCACACCGGAGACTCGCCCAAGGTCGCCAGCACGGCAGACATTCAAGCCCTGGGCCGCCTGACTTAGAGCCTCCCTTGAGTAAACACCAAGACGCCCAGGTCAAGCCCTATGGGTTCCCCCAAACCTCAGTTTAGCCCTCACACTGAGGGGTGGAGTAAAAGTGGGCAGGGCTGATCTGACAAGGCAGCCATGCCCCCGCCCAAACGGGGCGGCACCTGGACCCAAATGGCTCATCAAAGTAATCTCAAACTAGAGATCACATGGGGCAGGTCGGAGATCAAGGGTCCTCTCCAGCTGTGGAGCTTCCTGGAGACAGGATGGCACTGTGCGCAGTCAGCTCAAGTTAGAACAGGGAGAGAGTTGCCATCATTACCAAGCTAACGAGTCTGTGCCAAGCTGGGGGCTCCAAGTACACGAGCTTGCATCCTCCTCACAACACCCAGATGTGACCAAGCCCAAAGGTTCTCAAAATGTCCCAGGTCACAGCATCAGTTCACCTGGGAACCTGTTAGAAATGCAAGTTCTCAGGCCCCATCTACTGAATCAGAAACTGAAGGACTGGGCCCAGAATCCGTTCTAATGAGCCACCCCTGTGATTCTGACGCGCACTGAAGTGTGAGAATCACTGACCTAGCCCCGTTTATGCAGATGGGGAAACTGGGGCTCAGAAACTGTGCAACTCATCCAAGGTCACAGCAGGTAAAGGGCTAGCCAGGTTTCAAATCCAGGTATGGCCCATTCTAAAAACCAGGCTCCTTTTGGGTGGGGGCTGGGGAGAGAATCGTGGGAATTCCCAGGAAGGGGAAGAACACTCAAGAACCCTCTTTCTCAGAGGAAGGTGACCCAGATCTCAGGTCCTTCGGTTCAGCTCCCTAGCAGCCAGACACCAGAGGCCAGCTCCTAACAGTCACCCTACACGTTCCCACTGGGGGCGGGAAGGTAAGGCCAGGCTTCCTGACAGCAGACTGTGCCTTTCAGAAGTAAGAGGCTTCCTGGGCCCTCCCCCCACCACCAAACACACAACTGGGAAATACTTGCAAGCGCAGCCTGTCGTACGCTGCTAAATACGGCAGAGAATTGCACGCCCCAAACTCCTGACAACAGAAGCTGACAGGCAGGGATGGATGGACCAAGCAGGCCCAGCAGGCAGCCGATTTCACACACACAGTCCCACACATCTGTGTGGGGGAGGGGCTGCAGAACCAGCCTGGCGGGTTTGGGGTCCCCGCCCTCCCTGGGCTCCAGGCCAAAGCCCCCCAAATCTCCCTCGCAGCCTGGGAAAGGGCTCACACCTACCTTAGTGGGAGGATTGTCAGAGTCAAACTAGGCCTGCTCCTGCTGTCCAAAGGACTGTCCACTCTGAGGGAACCAGGCCCGCTGCCCCTTCTCCGGTCGAGACCCTGAGGGGGAAAGAGTCGGAGGGTTTGTTAGGGAGTCGATGACCACGAACCGGACAGGATCTCCTCGAGGGAAGGGGAGCTTTACAAATGCCGCGCGCCCCTCCCCAGCTGCCAAGACGGCCCTCACTCTGGAATGGATGGGGGGGGGTGGCTGAGTCACCAAGGTTCAGCCCGGGCGACAAGCAGCAGGAGGCGACTCATCTGCATTTCCAAAGGCCCGCCCCGTCCGCATCCCCTCCCCCAGGAAGGGCCGGAGATGAGGGTTTACCCCAGAGCCCTCCGCCTCTGGGGATCCCGGGGAAGGCCCGCTCAGCCTTCCCAGGCCCCAACCCCCACCGCAGCTCTAGAGCCTCCGGGTGGAGGGCGTGCCGCGGGCGGCCAAGCCCGGGCGTCGGCGGCCTCCGCGAGGGCCTCGCGCCCAAAGTGGGGACAAAGGGGGCCCCCCGCCCCTCGGGCTCTGCGATCCAAGGACGCCCTAAACAGGGGCGCCCAGGCCCGGGTCGGCGGCGAGGGAGGCTTCCGCGGCCTCCGGGGCAGCCGGCCGGGTCAGGGGGCGGCCTCGAGGCCGCGGCAGGCCCCGTGGCCCGCTGCTACTGGCTCCCGCGCGGGAGGAAGGAGGGAGGGCCCCGCGGCCCGGTCTGCGAGCGAGACCGCGTGGCCCGGCGCGGGGTCCGAGGGGCGGCGGAGCCCGCGCTCGTCGTCGAGGCCTCCCGGGCCAGGGCGTCCACGCGGGAGGCGGCCTCTCCTCCCCTCCCCCCGGCCGCCGCCTCCTCCCTCCTCCCGCCGGCGCGCGGCAGCCGCCACCGCCCGAGCCGCGGGCGGCGCGCGAAATGGCGCCCGTCTGGCCGCCTCGCCCGGCAGAGGAGAGCGCGGGAGCCGCGGCGCGCGACGCCCCCAGGCCCGCGGCCCCCGAAACGGCCTCCGCGCCCCCCCCCAGGCCCGGGGCGCTGGGCCCTGCGGGCTCTCGGGGCCGCCGCCCGCGCCGGGCTCCCGACCGCGACCGGGGAAGGAGGGAGGAAGGCAGGAGAGCCGGGGCCGCCATTAGCCGCCGCAGCCCGCCCGCCAGCCTGCCAGCCCGGCCCCGGCGGCGGCGCCGCGCTGAACCTGAAAATAAAACTCGAGTTTGGGAGGGAGGAGCGAGCGCGGCCGGAGCACAGGCAGCGCGGGCAGCGGGCTGAGAGATGCTGCGTCATGGTGCCAACATGGACGCCGGCCTTTGTCCTTTCTGCTTGGGAAGTGCAGGCGCGCCCCGGAGCCCCGCGAGCCGGCCTCGGAGGGCGAGCCCCCCCCAGTCCAAAGGGAACGAGGCCCTAGGTCGCGTGGGGAGGTTGCCTTGTCTTTTGAGTCCCTCATTTCCAAAGCACTTTAATTTCTTCTCCCCACCAAGGCTCAGACCTAGAAAAGCGAAGGGGACGAGCGCAGGCGGCCCCGTGGACGCCCGAGGTCGCTGGGGAGACCCTCCTCTCGCCTCCGGGGCAGAAGGGGCAAAAGGGTTTGAAGAGCCCTCCTCGTCCCCCTACCCCTCCCCGATCCGGGTGCCAAACATAAAGCTCCAGAAACCTCCTTCTCTCCTCAGCTCCCAAACATTTGCAGCCCTTGGCCTGCTCTAAAAAAGATTTCCTCGAAGGGGCAAAAGGCACGTTTGTTTTTTTTTTTTTACTCACCCGCTCAGCCCGGTGCCATGGAGTCTGGAAGATCAAGCGGGGCGGACGTTTTGAGTATCTTTTGGGGGGGATTGTTTAGTTGGGAATATTTGGGGGGATGGTGGTGTCTTTTTTTGTTGTTGCTGTTACCTTTTGGTAAGTTACACTGTCATGGCATTTTCTGCTCCTTCCACTTCTGCAAACTTTCCAGGGTTGGGTTGGCAAAAGGCGGCTTCGCAGAGGACTGTTTACTGCTCTGGATATAGCAATGGTGGGATCGTCATTAAGAGACAAAAGGCGAAAATACACAGTCAAATCAAACAAAAGGCATAAGACGCACCGGCCATCCCAACCATCACAGAAAATACCCGCGACTTAACGTTGGTGTTTGGCTCGAACCAGCTAGGACTTGTTTTCCAGTTTTAATCTAGTTTCCTGTGACGGCTTTAGTCTCTTTACACAAAGAGAAGGTCTTCCTTTCCCTCACCCACCCCCCTACCAAGACGAGAAAAACAGAGCTGTTTTTCTTCAAATAGATCGATTTTCAAAGAAAGTGTACATGTTACTGGGAAGAAAGCTGACTAGCATTTATTGCTGTAAACATTTTCAAAAGCTTAAAGCTAAAAAACCTTAGCTTTATAAAAGCAAAATCGTCTAAAAGCATTTTAACTGGCTTATATTAGACAAGAGCGACAAAGACATACATGCAGATGAAGGTTCAGAAAATTAAGGACATCTCAGCAACATTAACATGAAAACTGCACTGCGTAAGGACAGAATGGATTGGGTACTTACAATGTAAAAGGTTTTTAGAAACTTAAAAGTAACAACTGCTTACAATTTTTTGTTGCTGCCATTTCGCTAGTCCTAAAACTATACATTTAAAACATTACCTTGTTAAAAAGAGAGCAGAAGGAGTTAATAAGATGGCCAGGTTTAAGTGTTTAATAGAGGAAACTATATATATTTAAAAATTTATTGTTCAGTCAAGAGAATACAGATTAAGACAGCTCCAAGCTCCCCCCACCCACCCAAGAAAAAAAGAGGAAAAAAATTAAATATGTCATTTACTTAGGTTTTTTGGAATTCAAAATTGTTAACTGCTGACATTAATGGTGTGCTATGACCTAGTTATACAAGACAAAGATGGATTCCAAGTCATAAGGAAAAATCCAGATCTTTTTAAAAAGTCTTCTTCATTCTTCCAATTGTGAGTCCTTTAGCCTGTTGACAAATGTTAAACACAACACTGAGGCGTCCTGAACTGGATGGTGGAGTCAAAGGAAAAACATTCCCCATTTGCAACAAAGGAAAAACCCACTTGGCCATTTAATTCCATTGCAGAAAAATGGCTCCCCTCATCTGTTGGCCTCTCCTTGGTGTCTGATGAAGGATGTTTTGAGACCAGCGTCTAATAACTCAAGCCCGATAGAAGCCGCGCGCTGATTGGCTGCCGCGCCCTGCCGCCCTGCTCCAGCCAATTACCTACCCACGGCCAAATTACAAACCCCGAAAAGAGCCCCAATATGAAATACACCACCACGAAGCCCCGGCGAGGCGGCTCCCGCGCCTCGGCCGCCCGAGAGGAGAGGCAGAGGGGGCTGCAAACGCGTCCTCGCGAAGCCCGGGAGCCTCGGAGTTGAACTCACAAAATGGAAGCCTCGCGCTGATTGGCCGCCGCCACTCCCGGACCTTTAATAAAGAAAGGGGAAGGAAAAGATAAATGCAAAAAAGGGGGACTCTCTCCTCCGCTGGTGGCTGGAGGAAGAAGGAGGGGGGGAGAGAGAGGCATGTGTTCAAGACAATTACAGGGCGCTCCTCTCCAAAAATAAAAACAGAGAAAGAAGCTTCTATCACCCAGGTCCAGGCGAGGGCTGCATCCTCCCAGGAATGTGAATGCTAATTTGGTTAAAATCCTGGTTTTCCCTCCCCAGCTCTGTTCCAGGGGGGAGGGGGTCGCGGGGCAGAAGAGGAAGCCGGAGCGGAGATACCTCGATTGCAACTCGTCTTGAGTCGTCTTGCCTCTCCCCACGGCTCCCAACGTTCAAACACACAATCACACACACATACACACCCCAAAACCCAGCCCTTCCCCCCGAGCCCCCACGCGCCCACCTCCGGTCTTGGCAGTTTGGAAACAGTTTTGGAGGCCCGAGGCGCGCACCGCGGCGGCCGCGGCTCGGAGGGTAGCCCCAGCCGCGGGAGGTAGAGCCTGGGGAGACCCCCTCCCCCGCCAGCCAAGCCCCCCACCTAAGTCCCAGCAGAATAAATAAATTAAAAGGCCTTCCCCCGGGGAGGGGGGAGGCAGTGTGGGAGCGCGCGAGTGAGGGGTGGGGGGCCGCTGGGGCCCGGGGCTTTGGCGGCGCAGCTGCCGCCGCCGGGAGAGTGCCTGGGGAAGCGGCGAGGAAGGAGAGGGGAGGAGGAAGAGGAGGAGGAGGAGGAAGAGGAGGAGGGTGAGCGCTCGGGTCGGGCTCCTTAGCGGTGTATTGTGGGATGTGCGGCTACTGGGAGCCGAGCCTCCGCCGCCAGCCGCCTCCCGGGCAGCAGCAGCAGCAGCAGCAGCGGCGGCGGCAGCAGCTCCGGGCCCGGCAGCCGCGGCGGCGGTGCCCCCCCGTCCCGGCCCCCAGTCCGGCCGCCCCGGCCTCGGCTCCCGCGGGGGACACCATGTACTGGCTGGCGGCGCAGGGAGGCCGGCGCCCGGCGGGGATGTAAGCGCGGCTCGGGGAGGGAGAGGCCGCGGCCGGCAGCCGGGCAGCCCGAGCCCCCGGCCCCGGCCCCGGCCCCGGCCGAGCGAGCGGGCGGGCGGGCGGGCGGCGCCAGGCCTGCCGCGAGCCCCGCGCCCGAGCCGGGCCGAGCGAGCGAGCGAGCGAGCGCCACGCCGGGCGGCCGGGCGGGCACCATGGGCCGGAGCCCGCGTCCTCCGGGCGCCCCGGGCACCGCCAGCCCGCACCCGGGGCCCCCGGGAGCCCCTCGCAGCCGCCCCGAGACGGTGGCCGAGCGGGCGGGCGCCTAATTCTCCCGGAAGGGTTATTCTCTCGCTCCATTCTTATTTTGGGGGGAGCCAGCGAGACAGCTCCTTTTGGGGCGCGCTGGTAAGGTGGGAGGGGGTGGGGGCCGGACGATTGGATTCTCGCGTGTGTGTAGAAGCGGCCGCCGCCGCCGCCGCGGCGGAGACGACAACAACTTGCTCGTTTTCAGGTTGGGTTAACGGCATGGAGAACAGTCACCCCCCCCACCACCACCACCAGCAGCCCCCGCCGCAGCCCGGCCCTTCGGGCGAGAGGAGGAACCACCATTGGAGAAGTTACAAGTTGATGATTGACCCGGCTCTGAAAAAGGGGCATCATAAACTGTACCGCTACGATGGGCAGCATTTCAGCCTGGCGGTGAGTAGCCGGCGCGCCTCCCCGCCGCCCCCACCCACCCCAGCCCTGCCCGGGGAGAGGGGTCCGAGCGGCCCGGGGACCCCCGCCCGACCACTGGGCCAACTGTCAGCCGGGGCCCCAGCCCTGGAGTTTGACAAGCGCCTGGAGAAGGGGGGTCTGCCCCTGCCCCCGGGGAGTGGGTCCAGCCCTCCCATTCCGCCCCCAATTCCTCCCCACAGATGTCCAGCAACCGCCCGGTGGATATCGTCGAAGATCCTCGGGTCGTCGGGATCTGGACCAAAAACAAGGAGCTGGAGCTGTCGGTGCCCAAATTCAAGGTAGGACCCCTCCCCCTCCCCACTCCGCGAGTTCGAAAATAACGCCAGTCCTGACCGAGCCCAGCCGGATTCTGAGTTCCCGCCGTCCGGGCCGGGGAAGTTTTGGCGGGGAGGGGGAGATGGCTGCGAGAGGGTGTCCCTTCCAAGCCTACTGTAAACACTCGGTGAAACTGTAATCAAGGCGCTGATACAGTGTCCTGCCCGCCCAGCTGGGGGCTCCGGGTCTCCACCTGGCTCCTGCCAGCCGGGGGACTCAGCCCCGGGACCCGCCCCCCTTCCCAGCCTTCTGGCTTTACGGGGACAGCTTCCTAGCCCCAGGGGTCGCCCCTGACCCGGCAGCAGGGAGAGGAGGCCAGAATGGGGGGTGGGGAAAGAGAAACTGTTTCTTTTTCCCCTTTCCTTTCGAACCCAGAGGACTTCCACGTTCCAAACGATTTAATCCTCCGCTTCCCGGGCCCGCCCGCGTGCATTTTTTTTTTTCCAAAAAAATTTTTTTTTTAATTTTTTACCCTTCATTGTTTTCAACGGGCGGGCGAGTGGGGAAATGTTGTTTTTCCTTCGGTTTCAATGTTCTCCAAACTCCCTTCCCCCTCGTCCCCTGCCAGATCGATGAGTTCTACGTGGGCCCGGTGCCTCCGAAGCAGGTGACATTTGCCAAGCTGAATGATAACATCCGCGAAAACTTCCTGAGGGACATGTGCAAGAAGTATGGGGAGGTGGAGGAGGTGGAGATTTTGTACAACCCCAAGACCAAGAAGCACTTGGGCATTGCCAAGGTGGTCTTTGCCACGGTCAGGGGGGCCAAGGAGGCGGTTCAGCACTTGCACAGCACTTCGGTCATGGGCAATATCATCCACGTGGAGCTGGACACCAAAGGTGAGTGGAGGCCTGCTCTGGACTGCCCACTGCTGAGCAGCCGCAAGACCTGTCCCTGTGACCCCTTTCCCCCCTAGGGCCCCTCCTGCAGTGTTGGGGACCCCCTCACTCTTCCTTGTGTGCCCCCCTACAGCTGTATTTTTCCCCCTCCTGAGGGTAGAGTCACGTGGAGCTAAATGTGTTGTCTGTTGCTAGGAGACAAGCTATAATTTACCAAATGTGCCAGTCCTTGGCCACTGCACCCCTAGGGACCACCCGGAGGCTTCCCCACTGCCGACACCCCTGTGGGCCCCTCTCTGAGCCCTGGTGGCCTGGGTTTAGACAGTCCCCAGTGTTGCCAACTGTGTTAGGGGAGGAGGCAGGGTTTGTTTATTTGTGGGGGGCTGAGGGAGAGCCAGCAAGATGCCTTTAAATACATGAAGAATAGGTCCCTCAACTAAAGAGAGAGTCCTCTAAGGACCCAGGGTGCCCCTTCCCCGTGGAACTGGGAGCCAATCTGGGCCCAGAGTGTGGTTTCATTGATACTGTTCCGATAGAGCGGATGCTCTGGGTGCTCAAGGGTTGACACTGTGTCTTCCCTCCTCTCTCTTAAAGAGACAGCACCACCTCCCATGCACCGGAATCTCACTCTGTGCTCACTCTGAGCGGCTGCTGGGAGAGTCTGGGCTAGTCAGGCTGGGGAGGCCATCCCTCCCACCCTCAGGGTCCTGGGAGGCTCCTCCTGGATGCTGGCTGGAGGGGCTCGCAGGCCTCCAGGGCATCCCTGGGGTTTGCCTGTGGCCTCTCTAGGGAAGTTCTCACTGATATAGAAGAAGGTGCGGGTGCGCTGAGGACCAGCCAGCCCTGTGACTGGGCAGATGCTGTTGGGTCCAGAGCCCCTGGGGGTCCCCTGGGAGACCCTGCCTGGGAGGGCTTAGGTAGGTGGCTTCCAGGGGTTTTGTGAGCATGAGGTTTAGGGGCAACCAGGGCGCACGAAACCCAAGACAGGAAAATCTAACCCTTTCTTTTTTGTCTTTAATAATGAATACATATTGACTGAGTCTCTAAGACCTTGCTGGGGGTTGTGGAAGGACGCTGGTCCTGGGTAGGCAAGGTTATCCACAAACTCTTCAAGCCTGTCCCTAGTTCTGAGCCTCCTGAGGGCACAACCCAGGTTCCTGGCCAAGCCCCAGCCCCTTGACCCCCCTTCTCTAGTTTCTCAATCTCTGCGGGGGGTGGGGAGGGATGGACCCTTTCAAATCTATGTATTCCTTGGGCGGCTGCCATCAGCTCTTACCAAAATTTCATTTCTGCAAAAAAAAAAGAGGGGAGCTCTCAGAGACTGCCAACTAAGTTTGTATTTCAAGAAAGAGACCGGTAAAGTGTAAAGAGTCGCTCAAGGAATGTGTCTCCTTTGCATATGTATGCAGCTGCCTCAGCGGGCTCTATAAATATCGATAATCTGGGGCCCCCTGGTCTGTAGAGGCCTCTGTCTGCTGGGGTGGAGGGTTACCAGACAGGGTGCAGTGGGCCCCGGCGAGCTGGGGAGCCTGGGTGGAGGAGGAGGCGTGTGGAGTTCACAGTAATGTCGTACCAGAGTGTGTTTTACAAACTTTGCTGGTCACCTGGCCCCAGAGAGTTAACAAGAAACTGTCGCCTGTGTCAGTCTCCTCTCCCCTTGGTACAGGGCCCTGGCTGTTAAATGGGAAGGTGAAGGGACAGGGAAGACCTGACTCACTCTTTGGGTGCCATGGCCAGGTGACAGGAAGGGGGTTTGTGTTGCAGGTGGCATTTCTGTATTTGGGGGAGTCCCAGCCCCACGAGGCATCAAATTCTGAATCTCAGGATCAGACAAATCATACAGTTTATTTAGCAGCTTCGTTGAACAGGTGGGACTCTTGCGTGAGGTACAAAGAGAGATGGGAAGCTGGTCAGGGTCACACAGCTTCCCCAGGCTTGGGGTCTCAGGGACCCACAAGGATGCCAACCTGCGGGGGCTGCCCCATCCTGAGCCTTGCTGAGTCCTCCCTCCCTTCCCTTTCCACAGGGGAAACCCGCATGCGGTTCTATGAACTGTTGGTCACGGGCCGATACACACCCCAGACCCTCCCAGTGGGTGAGCTGGACGCTGTCTCTCCCATCGTGAATGAGACCCTGCAGGTGGGTTTATGGCTGTCAGTCGTGTCGTTGTGTTGTTCCCCGCTGCCCCACCATCTCCAGCTTTGGACACCAGGGTCTGGGAGGGAAAGGAGCCTGGCCACACGCACCACAGGTTCCAGTATGGTCTAAAAGCCCAGACTGCCCAAGCTCTCGCCGAGCACAGGCCCCCAGCCCTGCCCCTGCACGGGCTGGGATTCCCACAAGACCCAGAGCCCCCCTGGGGCCTGCTTTCCACATTGATACTGAAACATTGCTGTGTCCAGGGTCCTGGTGTCTGATGTCCTGTGCACACCTCTACCCCTGTGCACCCCTCTAGCCCTGTCCCCAGAGAGCAGAGTTCAGGTCCCTCCTTCCACAGCAAGACAATTCCTTTCCCAACCACTGCCTCCCAGGACACTCACCTAGACCAGTCTTTCCTGGGGAGCTCTTCATCCCAGTGTCAACCCCCGCACCCCCCTCCCCCCGGCACGCCCCCCCAGTAACTATTCCAGAGTGAAGAGTCTGCTTACTTTCAGTCAGCTGGGTTGTTTATTAGGCACTTGTACCATGTCACACTATTTAAATCCTAAGACATCAAGACTGGGGGGACAAGGCCCTTGGCCACCCCTCATTCCTAAAACCACAGGCAGCTATCTCCACCTGGAAAGTTTTTGATTTCTGACAACCTGAGGCAGGAAGGAAATCCCAATTCAAACCAAGATGTCAAGGTCTTATCTTTTCTCTGCTTCAGGGATTAGGAAAAACCCTCAAGGGGTTTTTCCTCTGAGGATAACTGGCTACCCCAAGATTAGAAAAACGTTAAGACCATCAGACACTCCTCTTTAATCTCCCCCACCCCTTCCTTTCACCATACTGTAGTTCTACAGCAACCAGTTTGGCTCTGAGCTCCCCAGCAGCCAGAGTGAGAAGGGAAAACAGCCCCATTCCGCTGCATGTCTTCCCCCCAATGATCTCACATCTCTCTCTCTCTCTCTCTCTTTCTCTCTCTCTAGCTGTCAGATGCCCTGAAGCGCCTTAAGGATGGTGGCCTATCTGCAGGCTGTGGCTCTGGCTCATCCTCTGTCACCCCCAATAGTGGTGGGACACCCTTCTCCCAGGACACTGCTTACTCCAGCTGCCGCCTGGACACGCCCAACTCCTACGGACAGGGCACGCCGCTCACCCCGCGCCTGGGTACCCCCTTCTCGCAGGACTCCAGCTACTCTAGCCGCCAGCCCACACCCTCCTACCTCTTCAGCCAGGACCCCGCAGCGACCTTCAAGGCCCGGCGCCACGAGAGCAAGTTCACGGATGCCTACAACCGCCGCCATGAGCATCATTATGTCCACAACTCTTCTGCAGTCACCGCGGTGGCAGGGGCCACAGCCGCCTTCAGGGGCTCTGTGGACCTCCCGTTTGGGGCAGTTGGCAGCAGTGGGGGCAGCGGTGGCCCTCCATTCAAGGCCCAGCCACAGGATCCAGTCACATTTGCCCACACTCCACCGCCTGCCCCAGCAGCCTCTGCTCCTGGAGTCACGTTCAAGTCGGCTTTCTCTCCATATCAGACCCCTGTGCCCCCTTTCCCCCCACCTCCTGAGGAGCCCACCGCCACAACCCCCTTTGGGGCCCGTGACAGCGGGGAGTTCCGGAGAGCACCTGCGCCCCCGCCTCTGCCCCCCACTGAGCCCCTGACCAAGGAGAAGCCAGGCACGCCTCCCGGCCCACCGCCCCCTGATGCCAACAGCATGGAGCTGGGCGGCCGGCCGACCTTCGGCTGGAGTCCTGAGCCCTGTGACAGTCCTGGCACGCCTACGCTGGAGTCATCGCCTGCAGGGCCGGAGAAGCCCCACGACAGCCTGGACTCCCGCATCGAGATGCTGCTGAAGGAGCAGCGCACCAAGCTGCCCTTCCTTCGGGAGCAGGACTCGGACACGGAGCTGCAGATGGAGGGCAGCCCCATCTCGTCGTCCTCCTCCCAGCTCTCCCCACTGGCCACCTTTGGCACTAACTCCCAGCTGGGCTTTCGAGGGCCCACACCACCTTCCTCACGCCCCTCCAGCACCGGCCTGGAGGATATCAGCCCCACACCACTGCCTGACTCGGATGAGGATGATGAGGTTGACCTGGGCCTGGGGCTCCGGCCCCCACCGGAGCCAGGACCCCCAGACCCGACCAGTCTTCTGGGCCAGACAACTGAGGTGGCCTTGGACCTGGCTGGAGACAGGACCCCAACCTCAGAGAAGATGGATGAGGTACCACCGTGTTTGTCCATCTCTGTCTGGGATTGGTTTTATCTGTCTTGAATCTCCCTCTTTCCCCCTTTGAAACGTTATCCCCTTAGGATAACTAGCTAAGACACAGAAGCAACAGGGCTAGAGCAGGCAAAATACCAGATCAAAAATAAAAAGAGGATGCAAAAAGCACCAGGGGCTGTGATTGAGCAGCTGATTTGGCTTTGAGCTCCCTAGCAGCTATGGAGAGAAGGGAAACATGACCTAGTTCTCTTGCCCTCCTTGTTAGGTATGGGAAGTCATGACTTTTCCTAGGGATAAATTCCGACTTGAGCTTCTTTGGTAGGAGTTTGCTGAGACCCCAGAGAGTATGGGCTGCAGGTTCTGGGCCTCCTTCTCTGTTGGGTGGCTGGGGGGTGATCAAGGCTGGTCCTGATGCTCATGCAGATTTGGGGAGAGGCATTAGCCAGAGCGCTCTCCTGAGCTCGGTCAGGTCGGAGCTCTGGAGCACTGTCTCCTAGAACCTGGTGCTCTCTGAAGAGGGGGCAAACCGTAGTGGGCAGGGAGGGCACTGAAGTTTTCCTTTTCCCTCTGCCCCTGGTTCCAGGAGTGAAGGAGTTAAGGGCTAGCCCAGGGGGAGGGCCAGGGACAGAAGCCGGCAAAGTTGACCACCCTGTACCCTCTCCTCACCCCAGGATCCTCCACCTCCAGGTTGGAGTAGGGGCACTGTGTGCCACATTGCCATGGGGGGGATTAGGTCATCTTCCTTGGCTCTGCTCCTCCTCCCTCCTGGTCCAGGCACCTGCAGTGGCCCTCCTGGAGACCTGAGCTGGAACCTGTGGGCCCGGCAGGCATGAGCAGCCAGGGGCTTAGACAGAGCTCTGTGTCCTGTGGGCAGCAGGGCGGAGGGTCCCCCCTTCCCAGGCCCTTTGATCAGGCCGGTTTGGCTGCCTCAGGGAGGAACAGAGAGGAACCTGTCCTGCCCCGGAGGGGACCGCAGGTGGCTGGGGCTCCAAGGGGCCTCCAGGCCGTTCTAGGGAAGTGGTTTCTGGCGCCAAGGGGACCAGGCAGGGGGAGTTGACAGGTGTGCAGAGGTAGGGGGCTGCTGGCCCTGCCATCCTCCCGTCTTCCCTCCCTCTCAGTTCCCTGGGGTTAAGGATGTTTACCATCCTGACCGACTGGCCTAGGGCTGGGAAGCCCAGAGTAGCCAGAGGGAATGGGCTCTCGCCGTGTCACTATAGGGAAGGGGAGACTGAGGCCCAGGGATCTGGGGTCGGGGATGCCCCAGGACATTAGCCCAGGGAAGCCGGGGAGTACTTCTAACTTCCAGGCTGGCCCTCGGGAGCCCCCTGCTGGCGGTCGGGAGAGCAGCACCCGGGCTCCTCGGGACCGAGCCGGGAGGGAGTCCCAGTCCCCGCTGAAGACTCCGGGAGAGCAGCGGGAGGCGGGTGGGAGACTGACGGGACGGACGGACCTTGGAGGGTGGAGAGAGAGAGTCCCATTCTTCACTGAGGCTGTTGGTGAAAAGTTCAGGCTCCCGTCCTTGAGCCTCGAGTCCTAGCTCTGTCACTTACTAGTTGGGCGACCTTGGGGAAGGCACTTTCCCTGTCTGAATCTCAGTTTCGTCGTCTGTGAAATGGGACGGTGACAGCACCTGCCTACCACCCTCACCTGCCTACCACCGTCTCGGCCTAAGGGCGGGCCGCAGGGGGCGCTCCAGGCTGGGCTGGGGGGGGGCGGCGCTTCCCGCGGCTGCTCCGGGCCTGGGCGGAGGGCGGGGCCGGCCGGCTGGAGCCCGGGGCTCCCCGTGATTGGCTGGCCGCGGTGCCGGCTTAACCCTCTGCGCGCTGCGCCCGCTCGCCCGGCTGTCAGGACTCATCTCCGGGGGCTGTCCCTGAATGTCAGGCTGAGCCTGCCAGTCCCTCCCTCAGTCTGGCGTGGGGACCCCCAAGAGGGAGAGAGAGTGGGTGTGTCCGTAGAGGGGACCTAGCAAAATGCAGAGCCTCCTGCTGCTGCCGAAGGGTTGGAGGGTCCTATTCCTCTTCGCTGCGCCCCTCTGATGCCCTTGGAGTCCTCCCTCACCTGTAAACCTGACCTCTGACCTTGCAGCCTGCACAGACCCCGCCCCCTCAGCCTTTAAAGGCTCTCCTGTCTCTTAACACCGGACAGAGGCTGTGATCCTCAGCTGCGCTCACCCTGGGCAGGGCCTAAGCTACCTCCTCGCCTCTTGTCCTGACACAAGAGCCTGGGGGTGGCCTGTCCTCCTCTCCCTACCCCTGCTCCTCTTCCCTCCACCTCCACCACGTGGACCAATGCCTCCCTCCAGTTCCAGGCCTGTGCATCCAGCTCCCCGAAGCCCCATGTCCCAAGGCAAAGGGGCCCTTGCCCATTTCAGAGCCGGGGTCATGCTTGACTCCTCCCCTGGTCACCTGGTACCACATCCCTGGATTTGGACAACAGCCCCCTTAACCCTCACTGAGCAGGTGTCCTAGGTTTTGAGTCCTGGCCCCGTTTCTGACTGGCTGTGATTTCCTGCTCTTTGAGTGTGTTTCCTCATCTGTCAGAAGGATCGGAGTGAAACCCCATCTTGTGAGGTTTTGGTGCAGATAAGAAAAGAGACATTGATGAGACATTGTATGCCTGCCACACTCAGCCCCACACTGGACCACACTAAGCGAGCGTGCAGTTATGAGACTAGATGAAAAGAGTAATTAAGGAAGAATAAAGACACATCTCCAATTTATGCACCTTTGGTACTGCTAACCCCACTTGCTCCAGTGTCACCTCCTTTGGGCCCTCTCTGCTGCAGTGAGGACAACAGGCCAACTGGGAACACAGGCTGGGGAGCCACTTTCTGGTTCAAATCCTGGCTCCATCTCTTAATGGCTGTGTAGGCTTGGACAAGTTTCTTTTCTTTTTTTTTTCCCCTGAGGAAGATTCGCCCTGAGCTCATCCATTCCAATCTTCCTCTGTTTTTGAGTATGTGGGCCACCAGCACAGCGTGGCTGCCAACAGCAGTGTAGGTCCATGCCCAGGAACCGAACTTGGGCCACTGAAGCACAGAGCACTGAACTTAACCACTAGGCCACTGGGGCTGGCCCTGGCAAATTTCTTAAGGTCTCTGTATTCCAGTTTTGTCATCCATAAAAATGGAGAGAGCAGACCTACTTTGTAGAGTTGCTCTGAGGATTAGCTGAGTTAATATATGTAAAATGCTTAGAAAGGTGCCTGGCACACAGGAAGTGCTATAAGGGTGTTAACTAATAGTATTATCTTTTCTGAATACAAACTGAAACAGAATCTCTCAGATTGAGACAGCATCTCTTTCCTCCTTCATGCCGCATCTCCCTTCCCGGGTTTTCTTTTTCTCTGTGGTGGACTGTATATTTCACACCTTTATCCTGGTTGTCCTCTGCCTCTTCCCTCTAGAAGTTTAACTCCAAGAGAGCATGGATTTCATCTGTCTTGTTCACCACTGTGTCCCTAGCACCTGGAATGGTGTGCCTGCCACACAGCAGGTGCCAAGTAAATGTTTGTTGAATGAATGAATGAATGAATGAATCTTTATAATTACCCCACGAGGCAGGTAATATGATGCCATTATGCAAATGGAGAAACTGAGACTCAGAGAGGTTAAATGACTTGTCCAAGGCCACAGGGCTGGGAAGGGAGGGGACAAGGATCAGAATGGCAGAATCCATGTTGCTCGCTAGTCTTACAGAAAGCTTCTCCAACTTTCTGGGGCTCAGAAGGGGGCTTTGGGAGCCTGCGTGGCCTCCCAGGCTCACCCTCACTGCTCTCTCCTTGCTTTCACCACAGGGCCAGCAGTCCTCGGGTGAGGACATGGAGATCTCGGATGATGAGATGCCCTCGGCCCCCATCACCAGCGCTGACTGCCCCAAGCCCATGGTGGTGACCCCAGGGTCGGCGGCTGTGGCAGCCCCCTCTGTGCTGGCTCCGACCCTGCCACTGCCCCCACCCCCTGGCTTCCCACCACTGCCTCCACCCCCGCCACCGCCCCCACCGCAGCCTGGTTTCCCCATGCCCCCACCTCTGCCCCCACCACCGCCCCCACCACCCCCAGCCCACCCAGCCGTGACAGTGCCCCCACCACCCTTGCCAGCACCACCACCTGGTGTCCCACCCCCGCCCATCCTGCCGCCGCTGCCGCCTTTCCCGCCGGGGCTGTTTCCCGTGATGCAGGTGGACATGAGCCACGTGTTGGGTGGCCAGTGGGGCGGCATGCCCATGTCCTTCCAGATGCAGACGCAGATGCTGAGCCGTCTGATGACAGGCCAGGGTGCCTGCCCCTATCCTCCCTTCATGGCTGCCGCGGCCGCCGCTGCCTCGGCTGGGCTGCAGTTCGTCAACCTGCCGCCTTACCGGGGCCCCTTCTCCCTGAGCAACACTGGCCCAGGCCGCGGGCAGCCCTGGCCACCCCTGCCCAAGTTTGACCCATCAGTGCCGCCACCAGGCTATGTGCCACGCCAGGAGGACCCACACAAGGCCACTGTGGATGGCGTCCTGCTCGTGGTGCTCAAAGAACTCAAGGCCATCATGAAGCGTGACCTGAACCGCAAGATGGTGGAGGTGGTGGCCTTCCGGGCCTTCGACGAGTGGTGGGATAAGAAGGAACGGATGGCCAAGGTGGGTGGGTGGACGCGGGCACCCTGGGTGGCGGGTGGGTGTGAGGCAGGAACCCAGCTGGGCACCCCTTCTACTCCCAAGGCACTTCTGCCACCCACACCCCCAAAATAGGATAGTGTAATATTATTTTGTGAAACTTGTGTTTCGATGATACGAATGTATCTACAATGTTTCTTCTGGATTCCGATTTCTAAAGGGCCAAAGCCACTGTTCTGATGTAGGTAGCTGTAGTGGCCCACTTTGCAGGTGAGGAAATTGAGGGTCAGTGAGGCAGAGTGGAGTACTGGGGCCATCCACTGGAGTGGTGGGCACAAAGTGTGGCCAGGTACACAGAAAGGAAGTGCCCAGTACCGTGCAACTGTCACTATCAGCAGAAGGCAGGCTGCTCAGGGAGAGCCACCCCACAAGGTCACAGCAGCCCTGTAACCATGGTGACGCTCCCCTCCTCTCTCGCACCCCAGGCCTCACTGACCCCTGTGAAGTCCGGCGAGCACAAGGATGAGGACAGGCCGAAGCCCAAGGACCGCATCGCCTCGTGCCTGCTGGAGTCATGGGGCAAGGGCGAGGGCCTGGGCTACGAGGGCCTGGGCCTGGGCATTGGGCTGCGCGGGGCCATCCGGCTGCCCTCCTTCAAGGTCAAGAGGAAGGAGCCACCAGACACAGCGTCGTCTGGCGACCAGAAGCGGCTGCGGCCCTCCACCTCTGTGGATGAGGAAGATGAAGGTTTGTGTGCCCACCCCTTCCTCCATGTCTTCTCCTTCCATGTTCCTCCTGCCCAGCTCTGACACCCTGCCTCCCACAGAATCCGAGCGTGAGCGGGACCGGGATATGGCAGACGCCCCCTGTGAGCTCGCCAAGCGAGACCCCAAGGGTGTGGGCGTGCGGCGGCGGCCGGCCCGGCCACTGGAGCTGGACAGTGGAGGGGAGGAGGACGAGAAGGAGTCATTGTCAGTGTCCTCTTCTTCATCGGCATCCTCATCCTCGGGATCCTCGACCACCTCACCCTCGTCCTCAGCCTCTGACAAAGAGGAGCGGGAAAGCACCGAGGAGGAAGAGGAGGGGGAGGAGGAGGAGGAGGAGGAGGAGGAAGGCCCCAGGAGCCAGGTCTCCTCCTCCTCGACCTCATCCGCATCAGATAAGGTACCATTCAGGCTGAGGAGGCCTGGGGTGCTGGGCCAGGTGAGGGGGCCCAGGCCCTTCACCCAGCCTCCCCATCCCTCCCCCCAGGATGACGACGACGAAGACAGTGATGACCGGGATGAGTCTGAGAATGATGAAGACACAGCCCTGTCAGGGGCGAGTGAGAAGGAAGAAGGGGACTCGGACGGAGGTGAGTGGGGCAGGCTGTGCACCTGGCCCGGCCCAGAGTCCCTCTGCAGAGGGCAGAGTCGGAACAATAGTTAGCGATACATTTGGGGCAAAATTTCTTGCCTTTGAAATGTGAACTCATTAACACACACGTGACATGCTGTATAATTCCTTTTATATGAAATGCCCAGAACAGCTCAATCCATAGAGACAGGAAGCAGATTAGTGGTTGCTTGGGGCAAGGGATGGGGGTAGAGTGGTGATAGCTAAAGGGGATGGGTTTCTTCTTGAACTGATGAAAATATTTTGGAGCTAAATAGAGGTATTGGTTGTACACATTGTGAGTGTACTAAATACCATTGATTGTTTACTGTAAAATGGTCAGTTTAATGTTATGTGGATTTCACCTCAATTTAAAAACATGACAAGTAGTTAGCACACGCATGCACACATTCCCCGACTTATCCGAGGGCCATATTCAGCCCAGGTGCCACCAGTTTGAGACCTTTGGTAAAGCATCTGGCTGGGGCACAGCAGATAACGAGAGGGCCCCTGCCTGTGTCCCCACCCAGAGGAGACAGTGAGCATCGCCACCTCTAAGGCTGAAGCTGGGTCCTCCAGCGAGAGCTCTGAGTCCTCTGAGTTCGAATCAAGCTCTGAGTCCTCGTCATCCTCAGAGGATGAAGAAGAGGTGGAAGCAGAGGAAGAGGAGGAAGAGGAGGAGGAGGAGGAGGAAGAGGAGGCAGCTGCAGATGAGAGCATGGCTCCCACTGCACCTGACGAGGACTTTGAGGAGGACGTGGCCATGGGGGCGCCCGCCATGGAGTCCTTGGGCACGGAAGAGGAGGTGGACATTGAGGCTGAGGACAAAGCCCCCGAGGAGCAGACCCCCATGCTGGAGGAGCCCTCCTTGCCTGTGGGTGTCGAGGAGCTGGCGAGCTGCCAGGAGCCCCCTGAGGAGCCGCACCTGAACCAGGAGGCGGCCAGGCTGCTGTCTCCAGAGCCCCCTGTTGGAGAGGTGGAGACCCGGCCCCTGCCATCCCCAGGGCCCTCTCCAGGTAACACCTGCAGCCCATGTGAGGGTCGTGGGGAGGGAGGCGGGAATGAGGGCCTCCGTCAGAATGAGCCTAGGCTCCTTTGGGTAAATCACCTAACCTTCCTAAGCTTCAGTTTCCTCATCTGTCAGATGGGGTCAGTGGACAGCGCCCCCCTCATGAGGCCGTGAGGGAGGGCAGGGTAAGGTGACACAATGTGCGAGCACTGAACCTGGCCCGTGTTGATGGTGTCCACTGCCGGTACCACTCCTCTCTGCCAGTGTTTCCCCACTAGTTCAGTTCTTGGACCATCAGTCCCACGAGATGCTCCCCAAAAGGGGGGTGGGTGTGTGCAGTCGTTTTAGTGATGAGCCCCGGGGGAGCTGGGCCAGGCGAGAGGGGCTGCGGACACTGCACCCTCCACCATCTCAGTGGAGCTGCACAGAGCACCTAAAAGGCTCTGACAGCGCCGGCCAGGAGAACTTCCTGTGGTGATGGAAGCATTCTCTCTCTGCCCTGTCCAACACCATAGCCACTAGACACACTGTGGCTATGAGCACTTGAAATGTGGCAAGTGCTACTGTGGAGCTGAATTAGTAATGCTAGTTAACTTCAACTAATTTAAACTTACATAGCCGCATGTGCTTACTCCATACCTCTAATAAGACCGTCAGGAAAGAAACCTGTTGTATTTTGTTTAATTGCGTCATTTGGCTGCTGAACAACAGGTCTTTGAATATTGTCACAAGTATTTATCACGCCTCTGTCGTGGCCCCAGTTCTCTTGTTCTGGGCACTGACAATTGGGCCAAACAGACAAGTGTCTGCCCTCGGAGAGCTTGCATTCCAGGGGGTAGGGTGACAGGACAGCAGATAGGTTAGAATATGTGTTATAGGACAATGGAGATAAAGGCCAAGAGAAAACCTTAAAGCCTCTGCCAAGTCCTGCAGGAAGGAGACCTGTTGAATTTTATTTGATCACAGACCCCATCTTCTTGGTCTATGGGGCATTCCCTGTTCACAGGAACTCCCTTCTAAAGACCCAGTGTCAAAAGCTAGCAATCATGTCTCCTGCATCTTTGATTTATTCCACCAACATTTACCAAGCACCTACTGTGTGCCTGACACTGGCCTAGGCGCTGTCCTTGAGTGGTTTAGCTAGAGGGGGACAGTCCCCATACTCACAGAACCCCAGGGGACTCAGAGGGCTATGAGTCGGTCGGGTGTCAAGCGCACAGTAGGGCAGCATAGACAGAGCACTGAACAATGTTAGAATCCAGTAATAACGGCCTGGTTTTCGCCCACCTCTATGCAGAGGACAAGCTGGAAGTGGAGCCCGAGCCCCCTGCACTGCTCTCCTTACCCCTGCAGCCACCATTGCCGCCCCCTCGACCACCCCGGCCGCCTAGCCCACCACCGGAGCCCGAGACCCCGGACGCCCCACAGCCCCCTGTCCCTCTGGAACCTCCCCCAGAGGACCAGCCCCCACGTACTCCAGGCCTCTGTGGCAGCCTGGCCAAGTCGCAGAGCACAGAGACGGTGCCGGCCACGCCAAGCGGGGAACCCCCACTGTCAGGGGGTAGCAGCGGCCTGTCACTGAGCTCCCCACAGGTGCCTGGCAGCCCCTTCTCCTACCCAGCCCAGTCCCCCAGCCTGAGCAGCGGGGGCCTCCCAAGGACACCTGGCCGGGACTTCAGCTTCACGCCCACCTTCCCCGAGCCCGGTGGGCCCATCCTCCTGCCCGTCTGCCCACTCCCCGCTGGCCGGCGCGATGAGCGGGCTGGCCCCCTGGCCTCCCCGGTGCTCCTGGAGACCGGCCTGCCGCTCCCTCTGCCCTTGCCCCTGCCCCTGCCCCTGGCATTGCCGGTCCCGGTCCTGCGGGCCCAGACTCGGGCCCCAACCCAGCTGCCACCCTTGCTGCCTGCCCCGCTGGCCCCCTGCCCACCCCCCATCAAGAGGAAGCCGGGCCGGCCCCGGCGATCCCCACCGGCTGTGCTCTCCTTGGATGGGCCCTTGGTCCGGCCACCAGGAGGGGCCGCCCTCGGCAGGGACCTTCTGCTCCTGCCAGGGCAGCCGCAGACCCCTGTCTTCCCTAGCACCCGAGACCCCCGGGCTGTGACCCTGGACTTCCGGAACGCGGGGATCCCGGCCCCCCCACCACCCCTGCCCCCCCAGCCTCCCCCACCCCCACCTCCACCACCTGTTGAGCCCACCAAGCTGCCCTTTAAGGAGCTAGAGAACCAGTGGCCCTCTGAGGCCATCCCTCCGGGTCCCCGTGGGCGCGATGAAGTCACTGAGGAGTTCATGGAACTGGCCAAGATGCGGGGACCCTGGCGCCGGCCGCCTAAGAAGCGCCACGAGGACCTGGTAGGCTCAGCCTCACCGGAGCTCTCGCCACCACAACCCCTCTTCCGGCCCCGCTCTGAGTTTGAGGAGATGACCATCCTGTATGACATCTGGAACGGTGGCATCGACGAGGAGGACATCCGCTTCCTGTGCGTCACCTACGAGCGGCTGCTGCAGCAGGACAACGGCATGGACTGGCTCAATGACACGCTCTGGGTCTACCATCCCTATATCCTGCCAGGCGGGGCGGGGGTCCACACCTCCTAGGATGCAGGAGCCCTCACCCACCTCTTGGGCCCCATCTCCCACAGTAGCATGAGTCACTGTCACCTATGGAGCAATGTCTGTGGGCCGGCGCTCTGCCAGGCTCCATACAGGATCATCACACGCACTTTACACACACCCTCTATGCCAGGCCCATCTCGCCCCCAGAATTAGCAGGTCTTAGGGCCGAATGTAACGATGTGACTGTACAGCATGTCGGTAGCAGAGGCTGACTGAGGGCTCACACTTCCTGGCCCCCCAGTCGCCTAATTTAATCTTCACAGCAGCCCAGTGAGGTAGGGACTAGTATTACTCCCATTTTACATGTAAAGAAACTGAGTCTCAGAGAGGTTAAATGACCTGCCCAAAGTCACACAGCTATGAAATAGCAGAGCTGAGATTTGAACTCAGGCAAAGCTGGCTCCAGGATCTGGGCTCTTAGCCATGATGCTGCCCTGATGGTTATTACCACAAGCCTGTGAGTTTGGAGCTGTCATTATCCCTTTGGTACCAAACTAATTTACTGAGCACCTACTCTGTGTCAGAAACTCTGCTAAGCAGCCTGAGCAGATGTAATCAGAGAGGCATCATTATTACTCCAATTTGCAAATGAGGAAACTGAGGCAAAAAGTGGATAAGAAACACACCCAGGGCCTTGCATCTAGGTGCCCCTGACAGAGTTCTGACCATCAGCAGAGTCGGCCAGTGGGCAGCTGCATGCAGGCGGCGTAGGTGTGGGTGGTGGGGCTTGGCATCCTTACCCTCTGGGAGATTGGTCTGAGGGTGGAGAGGCCAGGACTGGGGGATGGGTCTCCAGAAGGATCTCCCAAATGTCCGTGTGGCCCTTGACCCACACCCACCCACCAGCCTCTCTTCAGCTAAGAAAAAGAAACGAGACGATGGCATCCGCGAGCACGTGACCGGCTGCGCCCGCAGCGAGGGTTTCTACACCATCGACAAGAAGGACAAGCTCAGATACCTCAACAGCAGCCGCGCCAGCACCGACGAGCCCCCTGCAGACACCCAGGTACTGCCATCAGGTGCCCAGACCCCGGAGCCTCCCTGGCTGAGCAGTGAGTGGGCGCCTCCTGGGGGGGGTACCAGGCACTGTGAGGGGCTTTGGAGCCAGAGGGGCCGGCACATGGAGGGTGTTACTCACCTGGGTGCTCGGGGTGAGGGTGGGCAGTGGAGAACCTCCAAAGGGTTTTAATTGAGCACGTGAGCAGGGTTGAGTTGCATCTGCAGAAGGTTCATTAGTTCCTTTTTAAATTCAGCAAATGTCTATTGAGCACCTGCTGTGTTCCCGGCCTGTCCTGGGGCTGCAGCCTCAAACAAGGCAAATCCTTTCTTCATGGAAATTATGTTTTAGTGGGAGACTGGAAATAAGGGAATAGACAAACACAGAATTCAGGTGGAGAGCAAGCTATGGAGAACACAGCAGAGGAGGTTAGGAATTGGTAAGTCAGAAGGGGTCAGAGAAGGGGACGTCTGAGCCAGACTTGAATAAAGTAAAGAAGCAAGCCATGTGGATAACTAGGAGAGACTGCAGAGAAGTAGAAAAAGTCTTCAACAAAAAATTAAAACAGGAGGGGGGCTCACTAACTCTAGTAGGTCACACACAGAACAACATGTGCAAAGGCCCTGAGGCAGGGAAGGGCTCAGTGGTGTGAAAAAAGCAAAGGCTAGTCACAGCCAGAGAGAGAGAGAGAAGAGGTCCTCAGGGCCCCAGAGGCTGTGGTTTGTATTCTGTGTGTGACGGCAAGCCACAGGAGGGTTTTGAGAGGGGGTGACAGTGATGCGGTTCAGGCTGTGGTTTCCAAAGCTCACATTGGCTGCTGTGTAGACCGTTGACTGCAGGGGTCCAGAGGGAAGGCTCTGACACAGTCGCTACAGTTTCCAGTGCAGGGGTGCAGATAGGTTGGACTTAGGTGGCCATGAGGACAAAAATGGGTGCGTTTGGAAGAATATCAGAAATATTAGAATATTAGGAAGTCTAATGGACAGGACAGGCTGAATTGGGTACAGGAGACAAGGGAATTGGGGATGCCACTGGGTCTGGCCTTGGCGACTGGGTAGCTGGACCAGTGCTGAGGTGGGAAGGAAGGTGGCACCTTCACTTTGGGACAGCTTGAGTTTTGGGGTTTGGACCATCCAGGCAGTGAGGTCTGGCAGACTGGTAGATCTATGGGTACACTATAGAACTTGGGAGGGGCACTTCCGGGCCAGGGACCTGAATTTAGGCATCATGAGGATAGAAATGTTAATCAAAGGCCACAGCAGGGACAAGCGCACGCAGGGAGAGCATCTGGGGAGGAGGGAAGCGCCAGGCGTTCATGGCTGGGGCAGAGGGCGATGGAGCCCGAGAGAGGGAAGAGATGCTCCATGTCCAGGAAGGAGCCGTGATTTTGAATGTCCGGCGAAGTCAGAGAGGGTCAAGGTAGACAGACACCACCATCTTCTGTCCAAGAAGCAGAGATGCTTCCAAATCTTCCAGCTGAGATGGGGAAAGACGGCAAGAGTGTGAAGGGAAAGCTGTGTCGTTTTCAAGACTGGAGGGACCTGAGCACGTTCAGATTCTGATGGGAAGGACCAAGCTAGAGGAGAAGTGACAGTTAGGGACAAGAGAGGCACAGATCCGGCCAGAGCAAGAAAGCTGGGAAGTTAGGGCGACAGAGACCCAGAGTTAGGTTGGGGGCGCCAAGGATGTGATGGGGACATGGGTACTGTAGTGAGTGGACCAGCTCCCGCGGGCAGCGCCCCCTTCCTCTGATGTGTCACCGCCATCCTCGGCAGGGCATGAGCATCCCGGCGCAGCCTCACGCCTCCACTCGGGCGGGCTCAGAGCGGCGTTCGGAGCAGCGCCGCCTGTTGTCCTCCTTCACTGGCAGCTGTGACAGTGACCTGCTCAAGTTCAACCAGCTCAAGGTGAGGCCAGGCCCCACCCGGGGTGGCAGCGGGACCTGAGATCAGGGCTCTCACCCCTCATCTCCTTCTCTCCCCCAGTTCCGCAAGAAGAAGCTCAAATTCTGCAAGAGCCACATTCACGACTGGGGCCTGTTCGCCATGGAGCCCATCGCAGCTGACGAGATGGTCATCGAGTATGTGGGCCAGAACATCCGCCAGGTAGGTGCTGTGTGGCAGGACGGGCGTCAGGGCAGGGACGGGTGGCCCGGCCCAGACTGAGGGCTTTTCCTGGCCAGGTGATCGCCGACATGCGGGAGAAACGTTATGAGGATGAGGGCATTGGTAGCAGCTACATGTTCCGGGTGGACCACGACACCATCATTGACGCCACCAAGTGCGGCAACTTCGCGCGCTTCATTAACCACAGCTGCAACGTGAGTGACCAGCAAGGGGCGGCCACTGCCCCTGCCATTGTGCCAGGAGGACCTAGGAGCTCCTGGCACAGGAACCAGTGTGGCCTCCTTCCTAAGCTCAGGGTCGACCAAGGGTGGTAGGGAGTGAGGGTGGGGTGTGAGGCTTTGTACAAGGAGCCCTTCTCTGAGCTTCAGTTTTCTCATCTGTAAAATGGGCATCATGAGATTCAAGGTGCTCAGAAGTGGTCTGTTCAGTTAACGGTTACAGCGTTCCTTCTCTGCGCTGGGCTTTTCTATGCCCCAGTTGTTTGGGCTCAGCCCTCAGAGAGCTTACGTCCTAGGGCAGTGCTGTCCAGTAGAACTTTCTGCACTAGTGGCAATGCTCTGTGTCTGTGCGGTCCACTATGTAGTACTAGTCACATGTGGGGCTGAGCCCCTGCAATGTGGCCAGCGCACCTAAGGAACTGAGTTTTTAATTTCAATTAACTTAAATAGTCACATGTGGCTAGTGGTGGCTGTGGTGGACAGGGCAGGGTTGCAGGGTGTGGTGGGCATTGATGACAAGGTGGTTCTCACGCTGAAGACAGACACAAGGATCTTCAAACAGGAGGCAGGCTAGTTCCAGGACAAGTACCCCCAACCCTGGGTTCGAGTCTTGGATTGCTACTTACTGAGCAACCGTAGGCTTGTACTTCATGTCTCAGTGCCCCAGTTTCCTAGTCTGTAAAACAGGGATGACAACAGTCCTCCTTGTAGATTGTTGGGAGGACCAGGTGGGTCACTGCCTATGGGCCCTTTGAGTGTATTGACAGCAGGTGCTTAGTACGCGCCAGCTTGCATAATTGTGACTTGATCATCCCCGGGGCCCGTAGGGGCTATGCTATGAGATCTGAGGGATAAGGGGAATCACCCAGGCGAAGCAGTGAGTGGGGCAAGCGTTCTGTTCAAAGGCCCTGGGGCAGGGAGCGAGAACACCTGTTTGAGGGACAGCAAGGGGGGCAGTGGGGATGGAGTAGGGGGTAACAGGGCACAGTGAAAGGATGGGGTGGCCAAGTCACTCAGCCCTGTAGGTAGAGCAGAGAAGTTTCTCTAAGAGCCAAGGCAGGCCACTGGAAGGTTTCGAGCCAAGGGCGTACAGGATCTGCTGTCCCTTTGGGGAGATTCCCCTGGCTGCTGGGTCAGGCATAGATTGTTTCAGAGCACAGAGAGGCAGTGGGAGCTGCTGTAGTCCAGGAGAGCAATGAGGGGGTGCCTGACCGTCTCCAGAGCTCAGAAGTGGGGCCTGGGCTAGAAATATAAACTTGGGAGTCACTGGCAGGATGAATGGAAATCGAAGCCTAGGAAGTAATTGGTGATTAGGACCATCATCATCATCCTTATTTAATATCAGGCAAGAGGTCCTTGCACCCAGAGGGGAACCGAGGCCTTGAGCAGGTGGCCAGTGGGCAAGGGGGTCACGCAGCAAGTAAGTCAGGCCTTGAGCTTGGGGCTCAGTTGAGTTTTGGGGGACACGGTGTGGGAGGGCCTGGGTGGGGTCCCAGGTGGGGTCCCAGGTGGGTCGCGTGCTCACCCTCCCCTCCCGCCTCGCCCACAGCCCAACTGCTACGCCAAGGTGATCACAGTGGAGTCACAGAAGAAGATCGTTATCTACTCGAAGCAGCACATCAACGTCAATGAGGAGATCACCTACGACTACAAGTTCCCCATCGAGGACGTCAAGATCCCCTGCCTGTGCGGCTCTGAGAACTGCCGGGGGACCCTCAACTAGGCCCGGTGCCCAGCAGAAGGATGTCAGCTGCCACCCCGGGGCTCCCGAGCGTGGACCCCACGGCCCCGGGGCCTGGCCCCACCTCCCACCCCCATTTCAGGTGCTGTCCTCTACCCAGTGGCCATGTCAGGGCCTGGCGCCCCCAACACTACCCCCAGGACCCCCGCAGCTCCAGCCCCTCGAGGGGAAAGGGCTCCTCTGTCTCTCTCGTTTTTAAAAAAAGCTCCTTTCAGGATTTTTCTTTAGTTCCAACATAAACGTCTCTCTGCCTCTGTGTCTCTCTCCCTGGCTCTCCCCCTTTCTCCACCTCTGTCCGTCTGTCTGTCTGTCTCTTCTCTAGCCTTTTCATCAGCCTCTTCCCATGAATGCTGCTACGTTGTTTTGTCTCCTCTTTAGTTTCTTCCTTGTCATAAGAAAAGACATTTTAACCGTTGAAATGTGAAGGCAGAATCAGAGAGCGGGGACCCCCAGCGGGGGCTGCAGAGGCCTCGGGTCAATGGCGAGTGGGCCCACGTGCCGGAACCCCAGCCAGGGCGCTGGGCCTGGTGCTGCAGCGAGGAGCGGGGCCTGGCTGGGTGGCTTTGACCTCAGAACACTACGCAAAGCCCCCCTCTCTGCTGGCAGCCTCAGCGAGGAGAGGACCCCCTTGCCTGACCCCTACCTGTTCCTTCCCCAGCAGCCTTGGGGGCACCATTTCCCGGAGCAGACCCTGGTAGAGCCAAGCTGGTCCCAGGCAGGAATGTTCCCTCCGGGCTCTCCCTGCCACCCCACACCCCGCCAGCCCCCAAATCTTGGGTTCAATGTTTACTTTCTCATTCGAATGCCAGCAACGAGGGAGCCTCCTGGAGGCCCCAGTGCAGGCGAAGGGCGCTGGGAAGGGTTGTCTACTCTCTCCTGCCCTCACCTTCACCGGGCGGAGGACGGCCTCCCAGGGCCGGCGGGGCCCCCAGTCCCGCCACTACGGGTGTCTGACCTGATGCATGTGGCATTTTTTGTTTATAAGCTTCACCCACCCGCTCGCCCCCAGCCCACACCCCAGCTCACCCTGCCAGCAGCCTCCTCACCCCAAGAAGTCAAGAGCATATTTATTTTCAGAATGAGATTATTTCTCCCAGAGAAAGGAAAATCTTGGAAAAGATTTTAAAACTCAGATCTAAGTTTCACAGGTTTTTTTTTTTTCAGTCCTTTTTACCCCCCTCCCATCATGCTCTTCAGGGTGTATCTCCATGAATTTTTTTTCTTGTGCGTGTATAAAATCAAAACGAAGGGAAAAAATAGGTTTTTGAAGTTCAGAACCAACTTCTGTATATAGGCTGCCATAACGGACTTTTTCTCGGGAACATTGTTTCTTGTAGAAACATGTGGGAAGACTTTTTTGCTCATTTCTTTGTACTTCCAGAACACCTACAAACACACACACACACACACACAGGCAAGTCCCCTGCACCCCAGAAAGCAGAGCAGGCATGTAAATAATTTATGGAAAGTGACTGTTGTGACCAGGAGTCATCCTCACCAAGACGGGAGAGCTCCCGGTGGGGCCGCCCCACCCTGCGGACGCAGGCCCGGAGCCTCTGGTATCTCAGCTTGTGTCAAGCTTGTTATCATGTAAATTCTGTACAAAGAATTGTTATTTTTCTCTTTTTTTGTCGTTGGTGGTTTTGTTGTGTTTTTTTTTCCTCCACCCCATGCCCTCTCTGTTTGAGACTGTGCCCACCGATTTCAAGGTGGACGAAATCGGTGGCATTAAGACGCAGAGTGGGGACCTGGGCACAGCGGCGACCTTCTCTTCCGTTTGCGGTTTTCTGCCTAATTGTGCAACTGAGGAAATATTTATTTTTCACATGAGGAAATGCGTAGTGTGTAGAGACGGCTGATTAAGTTACTCGAGCATCCCCCAAGGGGCTGTCTGCATTCTCTCCCCTCCCACCAAGAAAGAAGTGGAGGGGGGATGGGAGGACACCAGGGGCCAGGGGCCAGGGGCCAGCCTCACGCCTCACCCTGGCCTCACCTTGCCCAATGGGCGAGGGGCTGGGCCCTCCCCATCCCCAGGAAACCCCACCCCACCCTTGAAATGGTTTGCCATATCCAGAAATGTGTTGACTCATTTTTCTTTCAATGCCTTCATTTTCACTGAACAAATCTTTGCTTTTGAAGAGTTGGGGGTTTCTGCTTTTCTTTTCCTTGTCCTTCCCTCCCTCCCTCTCTCCTCCGCAAAGAAAAGAACCCATAAGTTTTAGGGATGTTTGTGCGTATAGACTCTGTCATCCGTATGTAACTTGTTTTGAAGAGAAGTGTTTCCGTTGTGGGTGTGTCTTGCTGTAAATATTTGTTCATATTTTTGTGAATTCAATACTATGTACCATTGTATTATAGTAACTTTTATAAAGCAAACCATAAATATACTGACTTTTCTTACAGATACGCCGTCTCTCTTGCTCTCCTCTCTCTCCCTCTCTCCCTCTTTTCTTTCTATTGGGAGCTCGCCCTGCTCTCGTGGAGGGTGGGCTGGCTGGGTTCAGGGGGTGCAAGGAGCTAGGTGAGGTGTGATCCACTCAGACCAGCAGTTCTTAAACTCTGAGCCTGTAGGTGGATTCTGTGAACTGGGCCAAGTTATGGTCAGACTAGACCTTCCACAGCTTTTAAATTTTCCCTCCAGAACGTTTCTTAAAACCTTAGGTATCTAACACTGCTAATGGTCTGCAATTAAGGAAACAAGATCAAATATCCTATTGGCTTCACTTGAAGAGCTTGGAAAGGTGGTACCTCAAAAATGTTTAACACTTAAGGAGACATCGCTGTGGTCGCATTTGAGGGCAGAGAGGGATGATAAAATAGGCACAAGTTGAGAAGAATTCCATGCATGTGGCGTTTGCAGTATTCCAGAGGTTCTGTGCCCTGGAAGGTCTCCACTCTGGCCGATCTGGGGATGGGGTAACTAGGGGGCCCACAGAGAGCTTGTTAGACCACGTCCACTCATCCCCGAGAAGGACAGACTCACAACCTCAGCAAAAAGCAGCTTGACTGAAAAAATGCTGCACCTCACTTCTTACTAGAAAAATGCAAATTGTACCATGATATCATTTCCCCGGTCAGGTGGCAAATATCAGAAATTGGAAAACACCCAGTGTTGGTGAGTATGTGGCGGGGGGCACTCAGGCACCGTCGGTAGGAGCATAAATAGCTGCAACCCTGAGGAGGAAAAATGAGCTGTTCACAATCAGTACTTAAAATGCACAAAAACTCTTGGCTGAAATGCTCCACTGCCAGGAATTGAGCCTGACAGCCACAAGCAGGCAACAGTACAAGAATGTTCTTTGCAACCTCACTTGTGAGCAAAGAAATGAAGGCAGGGTAGATGTCCACTAGCGCTGGGCTGTTTTTCACAATTGTACTTCTGAACAGCTGAACACCACTGAAGGTGGATTCGTGGGAACAGAAAAAGAGCTGAGGGTCTGGCAAGGCCAGGAAAGAGAAGGTAGAGGCAGCTGCTGACCATTTGTTTGTTCATTCAACCAATATTTATTGAGCACCACTATGTGCCAGATACTCCTCTAGACACTGGGGATGCAGGAACAGAGAAAACACACTCCCTGTCTTCATGGTGATTGTGTTCTTGTGGGTGAGCCAGACAAACATGAAGAACAAATGCTATAGTAGGGAGAAAAATAGCTACGAGAAGAGGGTGTCAGTTGGGAGGGGAGTGAAATTTTAAAGAATGTGGTCAGGAAAGTCCACTTAACTGACATGTGAACAAAACTCAGAGGAGATAAGGAAGTCAGCCCTGCAGACAGCTGGGGGAAGGGTATCCCAGGCAGAAGGAGCAAGCTGTGCAAAGGCCCTGAGGCAGAAGCCCACCCGGTGTACGTGAGGACCAGCAAGGGGGCCCGTGTGGCTGCAGCTGTGAGGGAAAGGAGGAGTACAGGAAATGAGGTCTGAGAGGTACTGAGTTGGGGAGTGAGGGAGGCAGATGCTATAAGGCATTGCAGGGCAGCATGAGGACAACCCAGGGGGTCCAGCCCAAGGCACACAAGGGAAACACATCCAAGTTGGAGTTTCCTTCAACTTCCCTCTCAAACCTGCTCCTCTGCTTCTCTTCCTAGCCCCCACTCATCATGGCTGCTGTGGGTGACCTAAGCTCAAAACCCGGAAGCCCTGGCCTTCTCCTTTTCTCTCAGCTACCAAGTTAGATGGTCTCCTCCCATATTCTTCAAATCCATCCACCTCTCCGTCTGCCCCTCCTCAGTCCCACAGGATAAGTCCTTCCTTCATTGGTTCTGCTGTGGGCACCAGAAAGGGAGTCCCAACTTGAGACATCTACATGCACAGGGCAGACCAGGGTGAGGTGAGAGATTCCAGGTACACTTGGGCAAGAGCCCTTCACCCAGGCCCCTCTGCAAAAATAAGAGCACACACAGCACTGACACTGTGCCAGCCACTGTTTTTTCATTTTTGGTGAGGAAGATTCGCTCTGAGCTAACATCTCTTGCCAATCTTCCTATTTTCTTTTTTTCACTCGAGGAAGATCAGCCATGAGCTAACATCCTTGCCAATCTCCCTTTATTTTATATGTGGGATGCGCCACAGCATGGCTTGGCAAGCAGTATAGGTCCACACCTGAGATCTGAACCTGTGAACCTGGGCCACTGAAGCAGTGTAGGCCAGGCTTAACCATTATGCCATAGGGCCAGTTCAACCCAGGCACTGTTTTAAACATCTTTGATATTAAACTCACAGCGCTAGGAGGTGAGTATTAATTATCATCCCCATTTAACAGATGTGGAAAATTGAGGCACTGAGAGGTCAAGTAGCTTGCCCAAGTTCACACAACTGGCAAGTGGCTGATCTGGAGTGTGAACCCAGGCAGTCTGGCTCTCTAGTCCGTGCTCAGCTGATGCAAATCTGCTCTGCTCATGTCCCATCTAAAGAGGCACCCACTGCTTGGCACCAGCTGATTGTTGCTGGATAGGAAGGCAAGCCCAGAATTGCCTGATAGTTCCAAGAAGAACCAGAATCCTAGAATTCGTATGTGAAATATTTCAATTTTCTGAAAAGTTGAGTCAAATTTGTTTAAAAGCAAGCAGACAGAATAAAACACATCTGTGAGCCAGATTTGGCCCATGAACCACCAGTTTGCAACCTCTTGGGGTACAGAATTCCCCTTCTTTGCATAAGCCATGGGAAAATAGAGGGAGGGTATTTTTAACCAGGAGCACAGGGGCCTGCCATTGTCCCTCTGGCTTCTCACTGCTGTTCTTTTCATTTCTGAAGTGCATGATCCTAGAAGCTCTGACTTCTCTAACCTGAAAAAAAAATCCCCCAATACCCCATTATACTGACTCAGATTTTTTTCTTATACCAAGATCCACCTGCTCCTAGTTCTGAAGTGACTGGTCCTCAGGGAGGGCTGTTAAGCATCCGAAGCAAGAAGGAAAGAGACCCAATTTGCCCCCCCCACCTTCTGTTCTCTGGTTTTGAAGAAAAATGTCCTTCCAAGAGATTTCCGACCAATAGCTCCTCTCCCAACTGCACCCTTCTTTTGCAAGGGTCACTCACACTTGAGCATGAACTAGCATCTTTCCAAAGGAAGTCCTCACTGGGAGCAAGCAGAGGGGAGTGCAGCTGCATGGGCAGGGATGGCTGATGTGCTGGGGGTAGAGGGCAGAAGCTGAGGGGCTCAGACCCTACTACCTGCTCTACCTCTCAGACCGGGAACTGCATCCTGTGGGTGCTGAGCAAGGATGCTGCCCCAAAGTCCCTTGGCTAACACCCTCCCCTCTCGTATATCGAGAAGTTCGGGCTCAGAGCAGCAAAGTCGAGGACAGTTTATCTTTAGAGATCACAAAGCCATCGGACAGGATGCCACCAAGTGCGATCCCATCTTATGGCCTTTACTCTTGCTGTTTCCTCTTCCTGGGATGTTCTTTCCCCAGATTTTCCCATGGCTGGCTCCCAAATGTCATCTCCCCAGAGGGGCCTTCTCTCGATATGGAAATTAGTCCCCCTCCCAGCTTCACGCCCACACAGTCTCATCACCTACTTTACTTTCTTAATAGCATTTATTACTCTACGAAACGATACTGTCTTCCCCTCTAGAGTGCAAGCCCTCTGTACCCCTTGGTTCCAGAATTCCCCCCAACCGGTGCGGTCCCGCTTAGCAAAGCGTTTGCACCCCGTGCCTTCTCGGTTTCGAACCCCCAACGCGGAGGCCTCCCGCAGCACTGCCCCCCTGGGCTCCCGGTGGCGTCCAAAGGCCCCACCGCTCAGGCTAGGCACAAACAGGAGAACAAGGCGCAGGACCCCGGTATGCTTTATTCCAGAGGGCGGGAGCAGGGAGGGGCTCAGCTTGGGGGCGTGGTCAGGGGTGGGGGTGGGCGGAGCCTTGGGGAGGCCGCGGAGCCGGCTGGTGGGCGGGGTCTAAAGGGAGTGGCCAGTAAGGAGGGCTTGCTCGTCCTGGCCTGTGGGTGGGCGTGTTCCAGGACTAGGGGGCGTGGCCCACCGTGCGGGGCCCGGCGGGGCCTACTTGCCCGGCACCAGGTCGTTGGTCTGCATGTCGGTGAGGTTGCCCCGCAAATCCTGTTCCTCCTCGAAAGCCTTGAACAGTGCGTTGAAGTTGCCGGCTCCAAAACCCTGGAGCGGGTGAGATGAGGTGAGCTGTGGGCTCAGAAAGCCAACCGTGCTACCCTGCATGCCTCTCGGGCTTGCCGGGGACAGGCGGTACCTGGTGGTTGTGGCGCTGGATGACTTCCAGGAAGAGCGTGGGCCGGTCCTGCGTGGGCTTCGTAAAGATCTGCAGCAGGTAGCCCTTCTCATCGTAGTCCACCAGGATTTTCAGCTCCTAGGTGGGACGGAGGACTGGGTTACAGGGAGGCAGGCACCCTTTAGGTCTCACGGGGGGCTCGTGCACCCCCAAAACCAAGAAAAGACCCCTTTCTCCAGCCATTCCAGACACCTGCAAATAGATCCCCAAATTGTCCTGTTTCCGCCCCCTGCCACAGTCCCTGTGTAAGCCGCCGCCAAGGCTGGCCTGGTCCACCCCAGAAGCCTCTACGCTGGTCTCCTTGCTGCCCTCTTGTCTTCTTACAGTCTGTGCCCCACAGACATCAGAAGGATCTTTGAAAGATGAAATCATATCATTCCCCTGTTTAAAACCCTTCAATGAGAATCATTGCTGGTGGGAATGTGAAACGGTGCAGCCCCTGTGGAAAACCGTCTGGCAGATCCTCAAAATGTTAAGCGTAGAGTTACAGCAGTTCCACTCCTAGGTATAGACCCAAGAGAATTAAAAACGTGTTCACGCGAAAATCTGCACACGAGTGATCCTAGTAGCACTATTCACAATAGCCAAAAAGTGGAAACAACCCAAATGTCCATCCACTGATGAACAGATAATCCAAATGTGATCTGCCTGGGCAATGGAAT